ACATATATATGATAAATTGGTTTCTGACAAGAACTATAAAGACAATTTAATGGAACATGGATAGCAATTGCATTAAGTGGTTCCAGAATCAGCCATCTATATATAAAAATAAGTCATAAATAAAACCACGAACCTCATTTCATGCTTCACATCATATACAAAATTTACCTTAAAATGGATCACAGGCCTAAATGTAAAACCTAAAACTGAAAACTTCGAAAGGAAACATAGAAGACACTCTTAGATTGTGGGTTAGATGAACATAATTGATATATAATACCAAAAACTATTTATAAAAGAAAAGATTATTAATTGGACTTGAAAGTAAAACTTTTGCTCTTTAAAAGACACTGCCAAGAGGTGAGAAGGCGGTGCGGCCAATTTGGAAAGCAGTATGAAGATTCCTTGGAAAGTTGGGAATGGAACCACCATTGGACCCAGCTACTCCCTTCTCGGACTATTCCCTAAAGACCTTAAAAGAGCATACTATAGGGATACTGCTAAATCGATGTTCATAGCAGCACAATTCACAATAGCAAGACTGTGGAACCAACCTAGATGCCCTTCAATAGACGAATGGATAAAAAAAATGTGGCATTTATACAAAAGGAGTATTACTCTGCACTAAAAAATGACAAAATCATGGCATTTGCAGGGAAATGGATGGCATTAGAGCAGATTATGCTAAGTGAAGCTAGCCAATCCCTAAAAAATCCTAAATGCCAAATGTCTTCTTTGATATAAGGAGAGCAACTAAGAACAGAGCAGGGAGGAAGAGCATGAGAAGAAGATTAACATTAAACAGGGATGAGAGGTGGGAGGGAAAGGGAGAGAGAAGGGAAATTGCATGGAAATGGAAGGAGACCCTCATTGTTATACAAAATTACATACAAGAGGAAGTGAGGGGAAAGGGAAAAAAAACAAGGGAGAGAAATGAACTACAGTAGATGGGGTAGAGAGAGAAGATGGGAGGGGAGGGGAGTGGGGGATAGTAGAGGAGAGAAAGGGCAGCAGAATACAACAGACACTAGCATGGCAATATGTAAAAACGTAGATGTGTAACCGATGTGATTCTGCAATCTGTATACGGGGTAAAAATGGGAGTTCATAACCCACTTGAATCAAATGTATGAAATATGATATGTCAAGAACTAAGTGATGTTTTGAACAACTAATAATAAAAAAAAGGAAAGAAAAAAATAAATGCGTAAAGATGCAAAAACTTCAAAAAAGAAGAAAAAAAAAAAAAGAGGTGAGAAGGCAAGCCTCAGACGAGGAGGAAAATATTTCCAAACCATATAGCTAACAAAGACTTGTATGTAGAATAAAGAACACTTAAAACTTCAAGATTTTTTCAGAAAGGTCACATGCACATGAAAAGATGCTCAGCATCATTAGTCATTAGGGAAATGGAATTGCAAACCATCACAATACACACCCACTTAAGAGCCCAAATCAAAGTCCTACAATACTGCTGGTCCGAATGTGACACTTTGCCGCTGGGAATATACAATCACAAAACCACTTTGGAAAACAGCTTGACAGTTTCTAACAATAAACGTGCATTTACAATATGACCCACCCATTCTATTCCTAGGCACTTACCAGAGGAATGAAAGTACGTTTATACAAAGACTTATGGCAGCTTTATTTATTATGCAAAATACTGGAAACAACACAAGATGTTCATCAATAGGTAATAAAGAGATAGACTGGAATGTAAGGATGACTGGGCTACTACTAAGCAAGAAAAGAAAACAATCATTTGATAGATCCAAAATGAATGAATCTCCAAAACAGTCTATTGAGTAAAATAAGCTAGAGAAAAAACATCCCCTATAATTCCACTTAAATGAAATTCTAGAATGACAGTGGTTGCCTGGGGCTGGGATGGATGGGTGGGAACTGATTACAAAAAGCAATCTAAGGGAACTTGGGGGATAATTAAAATGATCTATATATGCAGTGTCCAATATGGTAGCCAGTAGCCATGTATAGCGATGGAGCATTTGAAATGTAGCCGATACAAATGAGGAGCTAATAATTAGGAGCTAATTATTAAATTAAATTGAAATAAACTTAACTTCCTTTTGTTTGTTTTAACCACTTTAACGTGGCTAATAGAAAATATGAATTACATATCTAGTTTGCATCACATTTCTACTAGACAGTACTCTTCTGTGATTTCGTCTGTGGTATAAAGACAAAGGAGTATGTCTGTTAAAATTAAAACTGTCAGCTTAAATTGGGGGTAAAAATGTTAAATTGGTAGTATATATGTGTTTTTTTGTGTGTGCATGTGTGCGTATAAGAGACTGCGTGCGTGTATATGTAACTATCTTGTTTGTGACCTTTCATTGTCAACAATCAAAAATGAAAAATTCACAGGCTATCTACATGCAAAATTAACTGTTCCACTTGATAGTCACCATATTAAATTATATTGGTTATTTAACATCTGCTGCCTTCACTATTCTTGAGTTTCTTGAGGGCAAGAATCCTGTCTTGTTCATCTCTATATAAGCCTAACACTTAATACAGAAAGTTAACATAGTACCTTATCAATGTTTTAATAGCTGCAGGCTGCCTCATTTTATATTGTCCAATTCCCTCAAATCTCTGCAAACTTAGCAGTATTACCCCATTTTCAAATGAAAAAAGTGAGTCAGAAAGGTTAAAGTAACTCAGCAAATATCCAGAGGTAGTAAGCAAAAATCTGTATTCCAAAACCCATTCACCTCAATTCCACAGCACCCTCTTCACTCTCTACTACCCTGCCACCTCCCCAGGTAGCAGTTCACAACTGCCTGACCCATGACCAAATCAAAGTAAAATTTTGTATTTTGGGGCAGTGGAAACACAGAAGATTTCCTGACCTTCTAATATTACAGCTTCACTGGATGAGCTCCCTCTACACAGAGCAGCTCTTACTAGATAAGGAAGGGTAAATATAGTAGGAAAAAAAACCCTTCTCCTCTCAATTAAACTTTTTAGTTGGGATTCTGAAGAAGAAAAACAATGCAGAACAAAGAGCATTTCAAAGAGACAAAAGGAAATGCTGAATCTGCTAATATAGCTAACTAATGCAAAAGGAGGATCTAATTGCAACTTCAGCATTCAAAAATGAAAAGTGAGGCGAGATCCTAGAGAGGTACAGTTTCTATGTCTTTTGGATTCTTCTTTAATTAGCCTCCCAGAATCTCAGCATTCCTGTTTGAATAATCCATATTTCTGGTTATTTATTCAACTCCCCACTGCTACACATTACCAAGCCATATGCTACAGAAATACATCACTTCATGTTTGCACTCAACCATCCAAAGACATTGGCAGTTCAGACCTTTAAGAAGCTTACGGGAAAGTCCCTGCAGAGTGTAGTTTTAAGGTTAGAAGACCCAAAAAGCCAAAAGCATCTTCTATATATGCTATTTGCTTGAGAGAAGGTGGGTCATTTCAACAAAAGGACAGGCAATTAGAAGGGTAAAGCAGGTAAACAAACACAGCACTCAAGAGAGCAAAGGTAGGATGCATCAGCAGAACAGTAAAGGCCTCTGGTTAATTTCCCATATTCCTGTCTGCCCATTGAAAAAGAATTCATTTTTAAAAGCTTTTCTCGAAGGAAGATTTTCAATCAATCTGAAGTCTGGAATGTGCTGGGCAAAAGAATTCCCCCAACCCTTCACAAGTCTTTTACAGAGAAGAAATTTTAAAAACACATCTCAATAGTCATAAAATAATTTTAAACACAAAATGGTCATTGTCAAGTTTGTTATAAATAAACCTCAAATCACCAATAGAATACAAACTCCCTTAGAGTCCATTAAGTAGTTACTGAATTCTCCTGAATATAATGTCAAGGTATGGGAAACAGCAGGTTGTTTGTAAGAAATACTATAGGAAACTCTATGTGTGGCAGGCTTAAAACCAAGAAAAAAAAAAAACAGCAAAAGAAAATATATACCCATAGACAGTCTTTGTATGGGTGACAGAACTGTCTTTTTAGCTTCTGGAAACAGAAATCCTGACCTTTTTATTTCCATGTAAGCCTGACCCTTAACATAGTACCTTATCAATATTTTAACCAAGCTTGCATGTCTATAGACTAAATTATATTTAATGTATAGCATTAATTAAATATATATATATTTAATATACATCAAACTGAAAAAAAATTTCAACAGACTTTTCACTGTATATGAATGGAAGTTTCAAGATGGTAGACTCTGGCTCAATTTTTAAAAAAATAACTCTACAATGATTACAGAGCATTCAACCATTCAGACATGCTTCAGTGTCTCTCAACTTAAGAAACTGTCCTTGACCCTGAACAACACTCTTCTTACTGCCATCCCTTCTGTTCTCTATTCTCCTTCTTAGTGGTCTTGAAAAGAATTATCAATATAAATGATCTTCCTCTTTTGTTTCCAACTTTAGGAAATTACTGAGAAACTAGCATGATATCCTCTTAAAGGAATTTGGGCATACATAATAAAATATACAAGGAAAGTATTACCAACAAAAATTCTAGAGTTGTCCTTCACATTTTCATACTTCTATGCTTTGACACAGCACACATGCAACCCATTATTAAATGTATAAATGAAAATATGAATGACTTGTTGTCAATAACAAAAATAAAACCAACATGGCACAGATAGGTCTATGTGGGATATACAAAAAATGGGACTAAGCTTAGAATGAACAAAAGAAATGTTTAGAAATTAATGGCTAGATTTTTCCAAAACCAACACAGTAAGGGAAGGCACAAAATATAAATCACCCTTCAATGCAGGGGTCATCTTACCACCTGACACAACAGGGCATCAACAGACCAAAACCCATTCATTCATCTGCTCTAACAGGATTGCCCAAACTCACCCATACCTGAAGACTGTTCTGTACAGATGGGAAACTGGAGGGCATTAAAAAGCCACAGCCACAAGTTTTTAGATTCAGGAGTTGGTAAAAGAGTTGGGAGAGTTAGGAGATCAGAATCGTACCGGAGCATGAGATTCATCAGCTGAAGGCCCTCGCCCTTCAGGAAACGTTCACGATTGGAACTGAGCATCAGGCAGGAACACAGTGAGTCAAACAGATTCTCCATCATCTCCTGCTCCTCGGCTGTGCTGGGATTGTGTCTTTTAAACACCTGTCAAGCAAAGACAGCAGAAATCACAAAGTCCTTTTAATCACACACCACCCACCAACTTCCAACGCCTGCCATCACAATAACCCCACCACTGAGGACACAAATTTACCATACTAAATCTCATCAGTTTCCATTTTGGAAAAACAGACCTTTCTGATTCATTGGTATTAAAATACATGGATGCCAGTTCATGCAAAAACACAACACTGGATCCATGAGTGACTCTCAGTTCTAAGGATTTTTTTTTTTTTTTTTTAAGGAAAGAAAACAAAACCCCAAGACCCATTAACTGAAATATAACAGAAACAACTTTGTTCACTTCCCTCAAACCCTCTAGTGGCACAACCCGACCATATCAAGCTTTCCCCCCTCTTAAAAAGCTGCAACCCAGTGGGTCAAATCCTGGCTTAATGTAAGGAAGTTTCCTAACAGGGCTTCGGAACTGCTTCATAGAACGGCTTCATACAATAGCCGGGGCTCAAGTCAGGGGAAGGGCTTGGAGTTTTGTCTTTGTCAGAGTTGTAGGGCATGTTAAGAGGAGAGCCTTCCAGCAGTGTATGTATGTACAGTCAACTACAAGATAATCTTGCAGGAAAGGGAGGAACAGATTCACATTTGAAAGCTCTATTTTTGGGGTGTAGGCCAAGCCACTCAGGCTGCTGGCACCAAGATAGAAGCTGTATGCAAACTGACATCTCAGACACTCCCAACACTCTTAAGATTTTATCCAAATGATCTATTTTCAGTCCTGTTTTTGGAATAACACAGATGAGATTTGTTAGGAGAAATCTTAACAGTGCTTTCAGAATGCCAGCAGAATAGCATTTCAACTGCATTTACATGTCTTTCAGTGAGCAAATGGCAGCTTCTGATTTCTCACTCCAGCCTCCAGTGCCCCTATCATCCTCGGTGACCTCTTTCCTAAATGAATGTTTTAATGGCAGACTGACAGGAAAGGAGGTGAATAATCGTGGGAATGGTTCAAGTGAAAGTCATGTGATATTCTTGGTCCAAGAACCTATGTGAAGTAGGAAGCTCATCTCCTCTGGACTGGCAATCTCGTTATCAGAGGTGGGGAAAGGCTAGACCAAGATCCCAATGATGCCTGGTCAGAAAGACGAATGACCAAGAAAAGGAGGCAAACCCCATGCCAGCACGGTGACCTCCAACCTGCCAACACGACCCACGTGTTTTGAACCACGGCTTTCTCCATCCGGCAATTTCCAGCTCCGCCTCCCATTTAAAGTAGGCCATGTATCTTCATGGCAGACAGGAAGCATAAGAATTACTCACGGATAACTGCTGAAGAAGCACATCGATTCCATCCAGCTCCCCAAGCAATTCCCTGTTTTCTAAAAGGGGAAAAAAATAGAGGAAGAAAAAAAAATGAAGCTAACTGTCAGATTTTACAGCCGTCTAACACTGATACATCAGCAAACAAAATCAATACAGCTTGACAGAGTACAAAAGCTGCAGAGAGAGCGAGAGGGGAAGCCAGGGGATGCCAAAGGCAAGAGAGCTTGCTGTCATGATCTGAAACAAGCCTGGCTCCTATCCTAACAGAATATCAATACTGTGAGGGAGCCTCACCGTCATTGTCCTGCAGCAATATGGCCAGCACTTCACTGCAGTAAAGCTTGTTGGCATCGAAAGGCATCTTTGCCTGTGGGGAAATAGGAGAAATGAGAAAACCATTAAGGGGTCTTGCTTCCTTTCCCAGGACAAATTTTTCACACATTAGAGAGAAGCAGGAGTTAGGGAAAAGGCAGGTTAAGGGTAAAAGTCTGCCTCTGCTCTCCAGAGCCCAGACCCACGTGCTGAACAGCACACAGTAGACAGACACAATGACTCTCCACCCCTACTGCAAAGGCCTGAATGTCACCTCCTCTGTGAAGCCTTCCCAGACCCTTCATTTTGAGTCCAGAGACTATACATGTCTAAGATAAACCACAAGAAAGTTTTGAACTTTTAAGACTAAAGCCCATGAAGTGTCATTCACAAGTTAGAACCAGAAAATTAGGTTGTAAATTAGCTGATACATGATCACAGAAGTTGAAAAGAAAGCAATTTCTTGTTTAGATTAGCTGAATGTATTTATAACAAAGTAGTTCCTTTTGGATTTTTTTAATGCTTGGAATTTAATTTGAATCATAAACCTATCTGCTTGTATGCCATAATCTGCCTACTATTTAAAAAGGAAACCACATTAAATATGCAAAAATGTGTTAATATTTTAACACCGAAATTACTACCCACAATTCTTTCCCTGCTGAGTGCTCTGCTACTTGGAGATTCAGAAGGGACACATCTACCGCACTGACTGTCTTCGATGGCTATCCACATGGTTGCCTTAGTAATAGTGAGACTTAGATATCTTCCCATTAACAATGCCCCTTGGATAAAGGTGCAGAGAGCAGCAAGCTCATGGCTATGTTTTTATTTATGGTATCTATGATCCTTAAAATGCAGCACATTAGACAGTGACTGTTAATCAGCAGCAGCCTTTGCTGTGTATCCAGGCTTTTTGAAATTTCTGTACCTGCAAAGGACAGAGGAAGTGTTTATCTTGGAGTTAACACTTCTATCACCTTCACACCACTTACAGTTATGTTTGGACATTGATTTTGTACTTAGGAAGGAAGAGTGGCACCTAATAAAGCATCACCCAGCACCATTTCAGTTTTCTATGCACGTTATCCTTGTTGAGCCGAAGTGTACCCCACAGGGTTGCAGAAGGATGACCAGGTCTGACCCAGCGTAAGTTAAAAGATCTGTTAAGTGCAAAGTCTTATATGTTCTGACTGAACGGGATGCTCCCTGGGCAAGCTGGAGGCCCTCTTTCAAAAAATTTGTATAATAGCTAGGGCTTAAATACACTCTGTGGTGTTTCAGTTTAAGAAAAATGGTTTTATAAAAATCAAAACACTAAGGTGAAAAGCCAAGGAGTGAGAATCTCCATTAGAATCAAGGATTTGCTAAAAGATCACTCAAATTATTTAAATCCCTAGCACTGCGACTATATTTTAACTGGTTTTAGCCACACCAACTTACACGCAAATTTTCAAGGGCCAGTGTTCTTTGAACAAGACGCAGTTGACTTGTAGAAGCCTGAAGATGCAGGCCACCACAGCAACAGCCTATCTGTGATGACTGCTGAGTGCTTCCCATCCTTCATTTGACTTTATAAACTCCTGTCTCTGAGTTAGAGTTTCTCTCTTCCTTTCAATAAACATTTATCGGGCACCTGCTGCATGCAAGGCACAGAATTAAACACAACAGCCAACAATGTGAACCTTGCCCTCTATTAGAGCAGTTAAAAATATCACACTGAATTCAAATTAATGTTATTAAGTAGTACAGTCAAAAAGAAAGAAAGAGAGAGGTAGATCTGATATACACCTGAATTTACTCACAAATGTGCCACCATTTATGTGCCACAAAGTCTACAGTTCACAAACTGTGTGCTCAGGTAGATGGGGTGCCATGTTGAATTCACATTGGGGTATTTTTGAATTTTCAAGAAAAACATGGTAACTCATGACATCTACTGAGCACTGCACTAACTACTAGCGTGAAATACATTCCTTATGACACTGTACCTTAATGGAGCTAGATTTTGGAAGTTGAAAAAAGAACTGTGTGAAAATCAACAAGGAACAGGAACAAGGGTGGTGGTAGTCAACCTGATGACAAGATCTGGAAGGCTGTGCAGTACCCAAAAGGCACACACCCAGCCATTTAGCAACCGTGGCAAACAAGAATGGAATAAGGGGCTGGGGTTGGAGCTCTGTGTAGAGCACTTGCCTAGCACATGGGAAACACTGGGCTTGATCCTCTGCACCACGTTAAATAAATAAATAAATGAATAAATGTATTGTGTCCTTATACAACACACACACACACACACACACACACTCACACACACACACTCACACACTCTCACACTCTCACACTCACACACAGAATGAAATAAAACATTTCTTTCAATTTATGTGTGTTCTTTTTTCAAATAGTTACTGAACTGTTAGATTATGCATATATGTTAAATTATTTGGGCCTAACTACTTAATAAACAGAATGCTAGGTATTTTTTGGCATGGAGGCACTTTAAAAACAAAATTACTGAGTACTAAAAGCACCATGAGTGGGAATCTATGACCCAAGCAACATTTCCTGATCTGTTTCCTAATCTGAAAAATGGAAATTAAAAATAACATTTAAGAGAATTTCTATGAGCATTAAATAAGATAAAAGATGAAAGACCCAACAGATAGTATATACTGTAAGCTCTTCCAGTGACTAGACCCTAAAATGCTCTTATGGTCACCTGTTCTGTGGTCTCAGCCGAATAGCCCCGACTCTCTAACCTAATTTTTCTGGGGCTCTAAGATCTTCTTTATGAGGTGGCTGCATTAAGTGAAATGGCACATACATAAGAGGCACTCAAGGCTGAGCTGCCCTCTGCTGAGGATTCCTAGTTGCCCAAGACACCTCCAGCTTCAGCTGTGTGGTCTGATCATATAAGGAGTTCCTGATTTACCCAAAATAACATTTTAAAAACCAAAATATTCATCAACTTTTTTTTTTTATTTTTTGTTGTTGTTGTAGATGGACAGAATGCCTGACTTTATTTTATTTGTTTATTTTTATGTGGTGCTAAGGATCAAACCCAGTGCCTAATATATGCTAGATAAGTGCTTCGCCACTGAGCTGCAACCCCAGTGTTCTTTCTTCTGGTACCAGGAATTGGACCCAGGGGCACTTAACCACTGAGACACATACCCAGCCCTTTTTAATTTTTTATTTGAAGACAGGGGATTGCTATGTTGCTTAGGGTGTTGCTAAGTTGCTGAGGCTGGCTTTGAATTCGTGATCCTCCTGCCTCAGCCAGCCTCCTCCTGCACCCCCAGCTGTTGGAATTACAGGTGTGCACCACTACGCCCAGTTCACCACTTTTTTCTTATGATACAAGCCCTCTGGTTGAAAAATTGGCATGAAAGAGAAACCTAGTCAGGGAAACAAAATGATGAGGCCCCACGACTCCCAACACTGAGCTCTCAGTGCTTTAGAACCTGAGCATTGCACCAGCTGGGAAGCTGCTTGGTAGGAGGAGGCCCCTCCAGAGAAGCCAAGTGACCACACCAGGCCCAGCTCTCACTGGCTCTCCCATCTACTTCTGTGAGGTTGGGTGAGGTATTCCCCCTCTCTGGGATTCCTTCTTATCTGTAAACTGGAGACAGCTTCATGCTCTTGGAAGAGCTATTTGTGAGGATTAGAAATATATATGTTAAGATCCAGAGAAACATTGTGCACACAGAGGGCAGTTAATACGTAAAACTCATTATCATACGGGGAAAACTTCTAGTAATGGTGAGGATGACAACCACATTTTAATCTAGTAGTAAGAAATAAAAGAATCTAGGCCAGCCAGGAAGGAAGGAGTCCACCCTTTCTTTCATGTCTAGCCATGAATTTAACAAGAAAACTTTATTTCTGTTTAAATCTCAGCCAGATATTACAACACCAAACTGCCAAATTACAAAAGCATTTCATCAAAACCAGGAGAAAGGAGAATGAACGTGGCAGGTACAGTCTCTTGGTTTTTGCAAAGCTAACCAGTGGGACTTGGAGCGTGTAGGGCTCTCTTTATCCAGGAGCCTGGTGATCCTAACTCTTTCAGCTGTCAGAGTAATTACTGAATCAAGCATAGGTCTGTACTCAGCATGTACTAGCCTTGAATAAAATTAAACTTCACCTTTTTGGGAACTGCTGCTTTTTTGGAAAGTACAAAACAATTATGCTACCACCTGCAGTCAGAAGCTGTAGGTTATATCTGCAGTTCACCTCTGGTACCTGGAACACATGGGGCAAGTTCAGACACATCTACAGCTCCATATAACTGTCGAAGCAGATTGGGCCCTGCAAAATCACCACCTCTGGTCATCAGAGGCAAAGGACTTCTGCATCAACCAGTTGTACATGTAGTTCTCAAGTCATTAACATATATGCTGAATACTACAACTGCTTCTGGAGCATGATTTAACGGGAAAATAAACTGGGAATCTTAATTTTGTTTCTTTAAAAAAGAAAAAAACTTTCTGGGTTGGTGCCATTTTCAACAGCATATAATATCCTACTAAGTTTGTATTCCCCATTTTAAAAAGTGCCGTGACGCAGTTATCACTCCCACTAGTGATCTGCTTACCTACTAATCCATTTAGTGCAATCATGTGCAATGGGCTTTATCCTCATTAGAACAAATTAGTGAGGTTTCATTTGGTGGATGAAAAAATATCCATGAATATCTCTATATACTGAGAGCTTAGCTACCAGTAAAAAGGAGATATCCAAGACTAAAATGCCTGTCACCAATGTGTCACTCACTTAAGAATTACTCAAGGATTACTGAATAATATGGGATGATCAAAGAACAAGGTTTTTACCCAGCAATCTAGACATAAGCACTCTAGAACCTTGGCTCTCATGCTTCGGCTCACATCCCTGCCACCAGAAGGGCTTGGTAAAGTACAAAATGCTGGGCTCCACTCCCAGCCTTGAAGATACAGGTTCTGGGGGGACACAAGAATCTGCATTTTGTATAAGTTGCCAGGTGATACTGAAGCTCCTGACTAGAAGCCACATTTTTGGAACATCTAGGAGAAGACAGAGACCCAGACCTTCATATGGAATTCATGGATATTTGGCAGGAAGAAAATTAGCACACAAAACATGAAATTTTCCCAGGTGCTGCAATGCTCCATTGAGGTGAGTGTCACATGTTAGGGGTACACAATGGAACCCAGATCTATGAGCTCCCACCAAAAAACATAAGGGAAAAAAATGAAGAGGCTGGTTTTCAGAAAAGAGGGCTGCATGGGCTGGGGCAGAGCACCACCATGGAAAGGATGCAGGAGGACTCGCTGGGGCAGGGGCTTCACTTCCAGCTCTAGGGCTAGAGCTGAGGAGGTCTGGGTTTAGACAAGGCACTTGATATCTATAGGTCTCAATTCCGAATTTTTAAATCTACAACATAAAAACTTCCTTTCAATTCTAAAAAGGGAGAAGGCTCCATGGACACGCAGGGGTCTCCTGAAGGCCGTGTTCAATCAGAAACACAGAAGGAAGACAAGGGTCATGTCTGCTGGAGTGTGAGCCAGCAGAGGGTAAAACCTTTTGATCTTTGCAGAGCAGGGGATGGGTAAGTTATCAAATTGTTTACAAAGGTCAAAAGGTTTCAAAATTGAGAAAGGAAAAGGCTATCCTGGGCCAGGTTAAGGGGCCTTAAAAGTAGGCAGGAGAGGTGAGCTCTGGGGTAGGGGCATCAGCATCACTGGAGGAAGAGCTTTTATAGTGATGGCAACCAAAAATGGAGTTTTACATCAGTCTGCAGAACTAGGACAGGTAACAAGAGGGTTACATTTCTAGAGACCAGTGGATCTTAGCGAGGGTAGTACATCAGAAACACATGTGGAACTCTTCTAACTACACCAACGGAGACCAAGACAACATGACTGAGACTGAGACAGCGGGGGCGGTAGTGTAGAACTCTGTAAGTTTTAAATATCCAGGAGTGGTTTTAACACAATCACCAGCTGCAACCCATGGCCATCTGGATTTTCACAATTCAGCATTATCATCACATTTGGTCTTCAGTGTAATCCTAATCCTGTGAGTTGGGTTCTCCAAAGATAAAACAGGAGCCAGATCAGTGAAGGGACTATGGCCCATAGTCACGTGGCTAATAAGGGAAATCAGGATCTAGGTCCAGCACCCACTCTGAATCATCCCCGAGTGTGAAAAAATGTAAGCGCAAGGCACTGCATTTAAAGACGGGAAGACTTTCTTTCATTAATGTTCTGGGAAACACAGGGTTTTTGTAAGAAAACTTGTTTACTAGTAACATAACCAAATAGCATTTTGATATTTAAATACCCTGAAACCTTGAAAACCTGTTTTAGAGACAGCGATGTGACTATGTATGCCCTGAGGAATACACAAACACTGTGCCTGTGAGGCGTGAGTCAATAGCTTGTTCAAATATCAAATGGGCCTCTTTATTACTGTCATAAGGGTAAAGAAATCCAAGATGAACGCCCAAAGGTCTCAATCTCCCTCCCTATATAACCAGTCCCTCCTCCCCGCCAAAAAAAAAAAAAAGACCAGCAAGTTTCAACATCTGACAGAGAAATTTGTCCTGACTTCCTAGAGACAAAAACTAGTGGATTTTACATGTTTAAGGTTGGGGTCATGACCCACAGCTGCTGCTCCAATTTAGGTGGTCACTGAGAACTGTCCTCTCCCCTTAACTTGGTTTCTGCTTCCTTCTTCCCTACCCCTGACTCCCAAAAGGTTTCAAGGTGTTCGAGAATAAAGACATGTGAATACTGAGAAAAGAAGGGCGGGAGTGTAGGGAGATGGAAGGGAATTCGTGGGGAAACAAGGGCAGCTCAGGAACCAAGGGAAGTCCCGACTTGGAGGAGATGTCCATGCACTGAGCAGCCACCCGCTGAGTGCAGGGCTGAAAGGAAAGGGGAGTGGGGTCAAGGGGTTCAGTGCACTGGGCCTGCCAGGCAGATGCACCCACACCTGCCGAGGTGAGAGCTAGGCTAGCGAGTATCCTCGTCCACATGTCTCATAAGTCTCTGTGACAGAGGTCATGGGGACCAATGGTCCAATAAGTAGAGCTGGGGAAGACTTAGGCTGCCCGAGAGGCAGGGAATGGTGGCTACACGCTAACCTTCATCCTTGGCCCTGCCTAGACGGTGGAGGTGGTCCACCCCGGTCTTTCTGGATCCCTACAATGAACCACAGCAAGTCCAGGACCACCTTTCACTCCTGCTACAAATAAGCACCTCCTGCTTACTAAAAGTTGGAATCCTTGCCTGCAGCAGCATACAAGCCGTTCCACACTACCTACCAACACACCTGTGGTCAAGGCGAATCTGGAATACCTTTGACCTCCCCATTTACTATATGGACAGTTCTGACGGCTAACAAGGAAAAAGAATAAACAATCCTACCACAATATGGATAAAGGATATAAATATGACGCCAAAAGAGATGAATACAAATGCCTGATACACACTACACAAAGCTAATACTTGACTTGATTTTAAAGTTCCAAATTTAAATAACAACACCAATTTCACTCATCAGATTAACAAAACCATAACAAAAATACTCGAGGGTTTATAGGTAGCTGAAATTCTCAAATTAATGGGGCAGTCTTTACAGAGGACAATTTTGCAATACCTCGAAAAATGTTAACGTGCTTACCGCTTACCCTTGGGCTCAGTTCCACTCTAGAAATTTATTACCCAGATAAGCTGAGGCAAGTGTGTAAGAAAAAAAATGAGTGTGTATATATGAGGAATTTCACTGCATCACTGTTTATGCCAGGCAAATGCTTATCAACCAGGAATGGCAAAATTAACTTTGGTACATCTGTACAATGGAATACCGGGCAACCATCAGTTCAGTGAAAAAATAATTCACATTAAGAAGACATTATAGGGGCTGGGGCTGGGGCTATAGCTCAGTGGTAGAGCGATTGCCTAGCATGTGTGAGGCACTGGGTTCAATCCTCGGCACAATATAAAAATAAACAAATAAAATAAAGGCCTTCTGTCCATCTACAACTACAAAAAAAATTTTTTTTTAAAAAAGAAGGCATTATAGAATTGTTTGTGAAACACACATAAAACGCTCTCCTATATACGCACAGAAAGTTTTTGAAGAACAGATATACATTGATAACAGTAGCTGCCTCTGCGAAATGGAACTGGAAGGGATCTTTTTTTAAAAAAGAAGAGAATAAGCAAAGAAAGGGCTAAGAGGCACTAGAAGCTTCCCAAACTAGATCCTAAGGCTTGGGGAAGATAATCTGTATCAACAACCCAGGGTCAGCCAGGCCCAGAGCAAAGAGAGGTGGGACAGCAGTGCCACCAAGCCACACTCACCTTTAGCCTCTTCAGGAGCCACTGCAGGAGCCCCTGCTGGGCGGCCTCTGTGCACATCTCAGGCCGGAACTCAGCCATGTTTTCCACGATCGCTGAAAGGAGACAGGCACGTCACTGGGGGGGGCAACTTTGTTTCCATCTGCAACAAGCTGGCTTCCCAGGACAGGCATGGATTCCCTTCCCACCTCCCTGCACTCCTCCCAGCCAGATGCCGTGCTGTCATTTTTAGATTTAACTAGGGAGATGCTGCGGGTCTTTTCTTCAAGTTACATTACAAGCAAAAGTCACAGCTGAAAATGATGGCATTCACAACAGGGAGAGTGACAGGCACTCTGCCCTAATGGGGCCCACAGAAGGGTGGCTGTGTGCTTGGGAAGGCCCCGTGGCTGCTGGTATGCTGGGTCCCCGGGACCTGGAACCACAGGCAGAGGGCTAGGCAGAAACCTCAGGGAAGAACCAGGGGTGGGGACTCAGAGTCTCTTGCTCTCAGGATTCACCCATTTTCAGCTCTCTTCCCCTGCATCATGGGAACCAGGACATTACCAAAAGGCAAGCACGATGTTCTTAATTGAACAAAGTAATATGCACAGAGGGGAAAGGCCAGGCTGGCAGAAGTAGCTTCCAGGTACTAGGAAGCAAATAATCAGTCTTGCTATCTCCTATCACAGCAAGTGTTCACCACAGAAAAATTAAAAACGAGAAGCAAAAATAGAAGGTATTGTATGACTATGATATTTTTTAAAATATTACCTATAGTCCTTAATACAGCAGATGTTTTCCTTCCCTTCCCTTCAGGGCCCCTTTTGCTTCATTTCTTAGAATATGTCACTATCAGTAAGCAACGCAGTTTGGTGTTTTCTAAGCACAACGCCCAGACACACTATACTGGGTGTGAAGTTTGAAAGAAAAAAGGCTCAAAACATCCCCACAGCCCTACTTCTTGTTCACTCCTCCGCCCAGGTTGGCCTCACCAACAGCAAGTGAAGAAAGGCCAGGCGGTCCCTGGGGGAGGGTGACACAACACAAAACTGCGGATGCAGAGCATCAACAAGAGCCTGAAAGATGAGGTCATTTCAATACCCTCGATTACTTTTTCACATTTTCTAAGAAAATCAACTCATTCATATCAGTCTCCTGGCTCTATCTTGTTCCTGGACTTTAGACAGTTTCCGTTGCCCCCTGGGACAAACACCCAAACTTCTTGGCAGGTTTATAAGGTCTCCCCAAAACCTGGACAAAACATCTGCCACCACTTCCATCTCCCACTGCCAAGTGCACATCTAACTGTTCCCAAAGCCACCCCCCCCTTCACGACTGCAGAGGACACTCCTACTCAGAGGCCCTGCCCCACTCCTCAAAGGCACCTCCCTTCTTACTCAGCCCCGGTCCCCACCTGCTCCTAGGAGGCAATTTGGAGACCCTTCCTTGTGGTGCCCACAGAACTTTCCTCTGGCTCCCATTATACCATTTCTCCTGGGATTGTCTTTCCTAACACTTCACCTCGTAAGGAGGAAGGCCACGCCTACCCAGGGCCTAGCATGGTGCCTGTGGGGCACCCAGGATGGGAGACAGGGATGATCTCCTCCCAGTTCTCGGCAGGTGCCCAACCTGAAACCAGACAATCTCTGCAGACGGCCAGGCTGGGGCCTTTTCCACTACAGAAGGCCCTTTTTATTAACAGTAAGCTGACTTTTCTTTTGATAAGCTTAGGATTCTATAAAATCCAACACTAGGATAACAGAGAACGATGCCAAATTCTGGCTCTAGACTAGCGCTTATTCTCTCTTCTCTTACTCCCTGGGTGCCCATCTTCCCCCTGCTTTATAATAATCCTCACTGAAGAAAGTCTAGAACTACAAGAGAAATCTGTGGCAAACACAAAGGAGCAGAGAGAAAATCTAACTCATCAAAATTCCTGCTTCCACTGGGCCTCATTCATGTCTCAAACTTGGCTCACAGATATGTCACCTCTGGTCTTATATGGCAGGACCAGTGATAAAGAGGACAACACAAAAGCACACTTTTAAATAGGCTATTTGTTTGGCAACTTTGCAAAAGGAAGGACTGGGAGATTTGAGAAGGGGAAGGAAGAGGAGAAATACTGCAGAGGAATCCACTTAAATGTTCATCAGATACAGGGGCAGCCAAGTTAGCAGCAGTATTTCAATCCAGAGTTTACAAAGGAATCTATATTTAAGAAGAAGAATAAACACTGTTTTTCAAAGAAAATGTCCTTCTTCTACAGATACACAGCTGGCCAAAAGTTTCTAGTTCCACTGAAGGAGAGTGATTAGAAAAACCAACACAAAAAAAAATGACTTAAAAATTTTAAATATACACTTTTCCAGGGTGGGGGATGGGATCCTTAGTAGATTTCATCCTGTTTTGGAGGGAAAGGCCTGCAAAGAGAGCCCATGCTCTGATCTTGGAAGGTATATACCTCCTCAGTGGATTTCTGCTTTTATTACCTGCAAGCCAAACCCAAACTACAGTTATATGAAATGTACACACGAGTCTTCGTTTCTGAAAAGGCAGTTTGGGAAGAGCAGGAAAGAAAACACTCTGTGTTGACTCGATTATAAGGGAGGAAGGGCAAGGAGCATAGGGCCCACAGCGGCGCCTCCGGCTTACCCAGCGTGTTGTGGACGCCGTCCGCCTCCTCTCTCACAGACTCATCCAGCCGCTCCAGATTCTGCACCAGCAGCGCTACCACCTGCCCATCCACCTGCAGGAACAGGGAAGCAAAGGGAGAGAGGGACACATGTCACAAATAGGCCCCACATGTTCCCACTCCCACACTCACATCTCCTCTATCTGCGTGAACATAGCAAGCACTTAATCAGCAGCCTGCACTGCCCCGTGCTCGCCCACCCTTTCCCTGTGAGCCCTGAAGTGCCCTGAGGCAAGGAAAGGGCAGCAGCCTTATCTCTCACTCAGGAGAATGCTGAAGCTGAAGGAAGCAAAGTGAAGGTCACGGTCACAAGGCAGTGCTGACCAGAGCTGTGCTCAAACCCAGACCTGACACCAAGCCGGCGCCCTTCCCCTCCTCAGTGGCGCTTCCACACCTCACCAGAGGGCCAGCTGGGGCCAGGCCAATGGCTCACTCAAGCCCTACCGCATTCCTGGAGCACAGCGCAGAGCTGTGCAGTCGGCAGGTTCACCAGCCACACTACGCTGACCTCAAAATTTAGGGTTAAACTCAAAACATTCTATCTTCCCATGCCAAGCTTTTATGAATGAATTTCTACTTCTTTATTAAAAAGAAGAATCTTAACAGGACAAAACGCGTGGTATCTGAACCACATTTAATGGACAGAAACGCCACTGTGCTTCTCTGATTTGATTCACACGTTTGGAGATAAACAAGAAACTTGAAGTAGCCATGCGGTAGATAGAGCCCACTCACAAGAGCTGGGGACTTCACCAGGACCTCACAGCTAGAGAGCAGGGGCAGCAAAAGAACAGGCCGGGTTCCAGTCCGGTTGGGAGAAGCAGCACTCTCCAACCCTGGCTCCTCCCTGGCACAATCTGTGCTGTGGGCAGACTGCCCTGGGGGATCCAAAGCCATGCCAGGGAGGGAAACTGAGGAAATACCTAATTTTCTTGGGCTGGGGTTGTGGCTCAGAGGTAGAGTGTTTGTCTCACATGCACAGGGCACTGGCTTCAATCCTTAGCACCACATACATAAAAAAAATAAAGGCACTCTATCCATCTACAACTAAAAAAATTTAAAATGTTTTCTTTTTAAAGGAGGAAGGAAGGAGGAGGAGGAAGGAAGAGGAGGAGGAGGAGGAGAGGAAGGAGGAAGGAAGAAAAGAAGAGGAAGAAGGAGGAAGGAGGAGAGGAAGAAGGAAGAGGAAGGAGAAGGAGGACAAAGGAGGAGGAGGAGAGAGGAGGAGGGAGGAGGGGGGGAGGAGGAAGAAGAAGAAGAAGAAGAAGCAGAAGCAGCAGCAGCAGCAACAACAACAACAACAACAGGAATGGTGGCAGTGTAATGGGGAAGCTAAAGCAGGAGGACTGCAGGTTGAGATCACTGCCTCAACAATGGTCTCAAAAATAAACAGATAAACAAATGGGCTGGGGATGCAGCTCAGTGGTACAGTGCCCTGGATTCCCATCTCCAGGACTATAAACCACTCAAAAACCAAAACAACAAAAATTAAAAGGAAGAAGTGACTATTCACCGGGTGACAGCATTCCAAGTGGGCAGTCATGAGGACACAGTCTGCTGCATGCTGGTGGTATAGCCTCATCCCCAGAGCCTCAGTGTCCTCACTCAGGAAATGGGGGTAAATTGCAAAGATTAAACGAAAATATGACAGGCCTTACCCTGGGTTTGGTGTAAGGCAGCAGCTGAAAAACTCAGTAGAGAGTGTGAATCCAGCCCTCACCCCTTCTTAGGGCCTGATTATTCCCTGCTCACATTTCCTAGGTGAAAGCCAAGTACCTCAAAGGCAGGTTCCTCACCTTAGTCTGGGTACACCCTGGGTCCAGCCCACCCTTCCCACACACTTCACCACATGGGAGCACTGACAGACGCCTGCTCTGTGCAAAACTGCTCCACTTAGCCTCAAGGAGTCCTCTCGCTTTTACCGATAAGAGAACAAAAGCCTGGAGAGGTTAATTGGCCTGGTCCAAAGTTACAAAGCCAGTGGCAGAGGTGGCTCTGAAGAGCATTTTTTCCTATTATATCCTATTACTTTGGTGAGAGAGAGAAGGAAATGATCCTGTTCAGCCGCGCTTCCTGAGCACTCTGAGGAAGACAGGAACTCTACAGACCTGCTCCAAACTCGGCCTGCGGAAGGAAGCTCGGGAAGAGGGACAGACGTGGAACAAGGCCACTCCGCTCTTTCTGGGTGAGACTCCAGAGAAACATCTATTCCAGAAGAAAACCTGAAATGACTGGCCAATTTGCGCCACCTGAATCACAAGCGAGTTACCTTTCTAGACTCTCCTCTGTGCAGCAGTGGGAGAGACTCCTGGAGGGGACACTGAAGACAGAGCTGAAGGCGCCCACACGCAGGAAAGAGCTGCTTTCCCCTCACATACCAGGAGACACACAATCTTGCTCTCAAATCTCACAGCCAGCAAGAGCGTCACCGAAGAAATCTACTGCAATGTTTTTCTTAATTAATTGGACAATTTGGGTATGTGAGAGAAAACAGAAAAACATCTGGGGGAAGAGTATGAACCATGTCACAGTTTGCTTTTCCCTAAATCACCCTGATTGACTTATAATCTCTCTGAATCCTAAAGCAGCAGACACTGTGACTCCGCTGTGTATCAAACTGCTTGTCAGTTCTGCAAACTGCTTCACGGGCTTCAATTGCTTATTGCTCTTTATCTGCATTATTTCCCCCTTTCCTTGATTCTTAGTTATGCTTCCCATCTCTGCTGTCTGCAAAGTGGCGGGGACAGTGGCAATGAGCGACGCACTCAAATCCTAGAGCTGAATGGCTATGGATAATGGGCGTCTGGCTGGAGGAAAATCTTTTTTCTTGTTGCGGAAATCTAACTTCTAACAGGCAGCCTTTTTAAGCTTTGCAAAGTGTGAAACTTTATGTTTAGTTGGGTTAAATGCAATTTTATCTGATTGCAGAAGGGCCAAAAGCAGTCAAGATACATTTAGCTCAGAAAACCCTTGGAAAAGTATTTACATTATGTATAGCTCTGGATATTGCCTAGTAAGAAGGATAAATTAGCATTCTGTCCTACTCCCGCTAACCCCTTGGGTCTACCTTCAATTTTCTGAACCTGTGACGAAGTCTGAAACTAAAAACAGATCCTGCTCTGGGATTAAAGCATGAGCCAGAGCAACCCTGGCCTTGAAAATCAGGACTTTTCTGTCCTTTTCTGATAAGTCCTTGGTTATTTCTGCCCATCAGCAGGTCTCCCAGACAACATTCCAGAAGGTCTTAATCACACAAAGTTCAAGGGCATGATCAGGCACTGTTTTCCACTAGATCAAAGAGGATGGATATAAGAGAAGAGGAGAAAATAAAGAGAGAGGCAGATGAGAGGGTTTGAGGGAGGATTCTTTTTCTGTCTGGTACAATCTGCCAACAAGCTTTCCCCAGAGTTAGAGTTTTTCCACCTACTAGGAATTTCAGATTTAGAAAATAATAATAAATATAAAGCCCCACACCCACTGAATCTCAATCAAACAAATCTTGACGATATACACGGTAACATGGTCATAAGGCGGGACTCAGGCCTGCTATACCGCCGCTGACAGCAGTGCCCTTTCCATTCCTGTCCCTCGGATTCACTATCTGCACAGCTGCAGTGGTCTTTTGAAGTGTTGGTCAGACTGTTATGACCCTGTGCACACTGGCCTCATGACGGATAATGCCTCTGGCACCCAGGTGGACTGGCCCCGACCTTCCCCCACGAGCCTGGCTGTACTCCACAGGATGGCCCTTTTCTGTTCCTTCACTATGTCACGCTCATACCTGTCTGTCTCTGCCCTTGTTCCACCTTGCTCTAGCTCATTCTGAGAGGCTGGTTTCTTGTCACCCAGAATCCAGGCCTTTCCTGACTTCCTGTCACCCAATAACACATCACTCTATTTTAATTCTCTGCGTAACAGACAATCACTCTGTTAGTTTTCTTGTTCATTTATTTACTGTTTCTCCCTAGACTAGAACATAATCTCTACCAAAGCAGAGACTCTTTCATTCTTACAATTACACACCTGAGTGCCTAGGATCAGGAACATGCCGAGCATTCAGTAAGCACTGAGTGAATGAATGAACAATCTAGTTTTGCTTAGGAACAAAGATGAAGGCAAGAACATTAATGGAAATGGGAAGGAACAGGCCAGAAATGGACAGTGAGCACACATAAAGCAACATGAGATGTGCTAAGCTGGGTCTCACCTGAGCAGCACAAATATGATACTAACCAAGTTCCAGCCAACCCAATCTGGAGCTCCAAGCTTAACCCTTACACGGGGTCAATGAAGGGCAAGAACGGTATGGAGGGTAGTCCCCAGCTCTTCACATCAAAGCCACTTTTGTGAAACCCTTTATGACTCCTAGCCTGTTGATGGTGCAGCCACACTTGCACCTGCTCTGGCTGCGACACCCCCATACCCTCTCGTGGATAAGCCTCCTCCAGGCCGTGGCCAGCACCTGAGCTCTGCAGCCAACTCTGATTCTTCTCCATGAGGCGTGACCACTGCATCCTCTTCATTTCACAGAAGCCTGAATCTCTCTCAGCCCTTCTCAATACTCGACCTCGAATGACCATTGCTTATTTTTTTCCATTAAAACACACACACACATACACACAAACACACACACACACACACACACACACACACACACCCTAAACCTCTATCTTTGCATGTCTTATTTAGGCCTATGCCATCCGAACAGTTTCTGAAGAATTATTAAAAATGTTTTTTGAAACATTTTTGAACTGAAAAAATACTTGAGTTTAATAACCTTCACAAATATCCCACTGTGTGGCAGATGACACTTGTCATTTTACCTTGACATTTACTAACTGCTTAATATCTGCCAGGCTCAATACCTTTACACAATAATGGCCCACATTTATCGGGTGTTTACTCTGTGCCAGACTGTCCTAGAGACTTGTTAAATATCTCAGTTATCCCTCACGTTGGCACTGTGCAATGGGCCTACTGTTATTTCCATTTTACAGACAAAAAAAAGCAGAGTATGGAGTGGTGGGGTAGCTCTCCCAAGGACACACAATTGGTAAGTAACAGAGCCACCACTCTGACTGCTTTCCCAACAGTGACCACAACTCAAAAAAGACAAACTTAGAAATCTATAATGCAATTTGACAAGTTCCAGGATGTACAAAGTGCTAGGGGAACACAAATTCCACTGAGGTGATGAGTTTGGAAAAATTCAGAAGAGCCGAGGTTGAAGCTGGGCTTCACAGGAGGAGGAGGAGCAGGAGTGCTCCAGGTGACCTGGAGAAGCCAGGCATGCCAAGTAGTAAGTAGAGAAATCACAGCAGTCTAATCACTACTCCAAAGCCACCTTCGGAGGAGTAAGCCACAGAAATGCCATCAAAGCAATATACCCTCACAATTACTACTCTCTAGAAAGGAGTCCATTTGCCAAATTCACCTGTTTCAAAGCACAAACATGTCTTGACCTTTTGCATGAGGAACACTGGTGGGTGTGGCCAACATGGAAAGCTTGTGCAGAGCCCCAAGAATGCCAGAACAGCGCGCTCTCCCCACAAATGAGCTGTTCTATTACTTGAGACTTACAACTGGGAAAAAAGACCAAGGCAATAACTGCAAACTGCACTCCACAATAAATCCTGCCACATGCCCTCTAGCCTCTGCTCAAGCAATTCCAGGCTTCCAACACTGGCCCCAAATTAAAACTACGAAGACAACTCAACCCTTGTAATATGAGACTACTTATCAAGCTTCTCCCCAATGTGGCACAAGGGTGGCGAAGAATAAATGGAAGACCACTTGCCGGTTCTGCCCTCTGATATTTACTGTTGCCTCTGACTGGTTGCAGGAGAGCAAATAATGTATTGGGGTCTAGAATGTTCAGTGTTTGTGATTCACACCAGCCCCACCAGGATAAAGCTGTAAGCATCAAAATCTTAAAATAATATAATCAGAAAGAAACTAAACAAACACAAAACCCTGTATAGCAGCCACCTAATGGCTCCCCAGACTGAGGATGAACTGTTTCTTTCCACACAGACAATAAACTCTGCAAGATCCAGCCTTTGTTGGTGGGCCAGGCGACACAGAAATCACAAAAGGGGCTTTTGTGTGAACTGCTGCTTCTGGGTAGGTTCACCATGCAGCAGCCAGGCTAGCTGTTCCTCCCCTGTCTTCTCCATTCACACGGGCAAGGAAGGTAATTAAAATCAGCCCAGGGACCAGGCAGGAAGGCTCGTCCAGGGCCACTGTAATTAACCTCTGGAAGGTAAGACTGCACAAATGGCACTGTGGGGACATAGTGCGGGAGCAGCTGCCACAGCTCCCCTCAGCTGCTCCTCAAAAAAAAAGAACACCCCAGCAACGTCCCCTGCTTTTCGCACAGTGGTCCCAAGGAAAAATAAAGGCCCTGATCCTACCAAAGTGGCAGTTCACTCTAGGAGGGAGCATGTAAGAAAAATGGCCATAGAAATCTCCCTAACAGTTTCACATGGCCGTGCTGGACTGCAGCCTCGCTCTCCGGGAGAGACAGTTCTTCATATCCAGTGGGTTCACGACCCTGTCATTCACACCAAATGCCAGCAGCAAGCACAGCACACGAGAAACTTCTGGTGTCAAGAACCTTAAGAGAAAGGGTAAGGAGGGCTGGGTCATGCAGCTGTGCGTCTCAGAACCATCTGGGCCCCCTGTCAGGCAGTTCTGCTTCAGTGGTCTCGGGTGGGGCCGGAAAGCAGCCTAATAAGTACCTGTGTGCTTTCAACACAAGCGGCCGCAATGATCTTAGATAAACTCTGCAAACTGCTCCAAAATCGGCACTTACCTCTGTACCAGAGAGAAAAGGCAAGAGAAGATGACAGAGTGGAAGGGAGATCCACAGAGGAGGGAGAGGACGTGGGAGCTGGTCAGAACTCCACGGGCAGAATCAGGCAGGAGACTGGACTAGACCTCCTCCGCCACAGGCCGACTGTGGTGCCTTTTCAGTCCGGAGCCCACTCTGACAAGGGAGTCTAGTGTGGTGCAAGAGGCCTGGGGTGCAGGCTGCAGTCTCAGGGATCAAAGGACAGGCTGAGTGGCCCAAAGGAAAGCTTCACATCTGTCTCCGGGGTCTCCTCAGTGTCGGGTGATGAGACAGAGGGGAATCAGCAGACAAGGTTCACCCCATGTACCTGGACCTTGCACTAGCTGCTGCTTGACCCAAAGGCCAAGGAGTCAGAGGCCCTGCTTCGCTCCACAAAAAGAACACAGAAGTCACCAGGCCTGTCTGCTAGAGGCTGGTGATGCAACCCTGGCAGATGAGTGCTAAGATTTGTTCTCCTTCCACATTCTCCAATGCCTCTTTGATGACCCATCTCCAAAATAATTAAGAACAATACCCTTCCATGTGGGCACTAGGGATTATAAAACGCCAAAGAGAAAATAAACATCAGTGGAAGCTCTTAGTACAAAGGTCAGTGGTGGCACATAGGGGGTGGGGAGCAGGGAGTCAGCTCTGTGACCACAGGCAAGGTGTCCATCTCTCTAAGCCTCAGGAATAAACCCACCAGGCAGGATGTGGCGAGGATTAAACAGGGAACAGATAAGCAATGGCTCCCTACAGCAGACAAATGCTGGCCTTCTATGGCCCTCAGCCAACGCATCTCCTCCAAGATGCACTTCCATATCCCACTCATTCCAACCAGCCCAGCCACAAAATCCTAGGGACGCCATTCAGACACAACAGGGGGGATGCCACCTGTGCCTTCAGCAAACCTGCAAAACTCCAGGGGACCATGCAACTTACCAGCGCATCAATGAGGACTTCCGCTCCCTCTTCGCTCTCGTGGAGGGTGTCAATATCTGTCAGTTCCTGAAGCAAGTCAACCACGGCGATGGACACATGTGCCAAGTGTTAAGGGATCACGCACAGAATGAAATCCAATGATGAGTTATTAAATCTGCAGTTCCCCGTTTCCTCATCAGCTGCTTTATCACCATGTACCTTTAATACACTCTGGATTTATTAGCCTCTCTTCAACAAGGCTCCTCCCCCAGGGGGTGCTCGGTCGATAGTTAACTGATCCGCTCGGGCTCCTTCCTGATAACTTCTTCCATTTTTTCATGAATTCCCAAACTTTAAATAGATGACTTGGGAGGGCACTTTTCCAGTAAGAAACAGGTCAACATCTTTAACCCTATCTCATAATCTAAACTCTTGAAGCTCAGTGTCATTTTTACTACCTGGTACTGTTCACCTTGAAAGGCAGCGGTGATGGCTGGCACTCTCCAAGGAATTCTCAGAGATCAGGCAGGACAAATGGGTTAGAGAAACAGCAAGAAAGGTTTACACAGGGCAGCACTGGCTCCCCACCGTCTTCCCCTCAAATTCCTCACCACCTTGGACTTAAGGGGAAGGTGAACATAGGAACCAGGCCGCAGGTAAAAACAGGAGAAAGAGAGGGAAATATAAGGGAAAGGAGCACAACAGAGAAAAAGAAAGGAGTTATATCAGGAACCTGGAAGGCAAACTGCACTTCCAACTAAGCTTCCCTTCCCCGACCTGGAAACACACACACACACACACACACACACACACACACACACACACACTCTCCCCTCGCTCCATCAACCTGTATTCAGTGACTGCCTGAATAAATAAGGCACTGTATGGTGATAAAGGCAAATCTGTTCTTCATTCTGGGTCTCAGTCTCCTCATCTATGAAATGATGAAGCTAGAAAACCAAAGCCAATTTTTAAAAATCATACAGCAAAGATAATAACAACATGTGACAAACGAGGAATACAGACACCTTGGATGCAGGCCTCCTGAACTGAGCTGGGAGATGAGGAATAACTTACTAGAAAAAGAGTGGTCAGAAAACAGGCAACTATAATGGTAGGCTAGAAAGCCAAACCACAGGATCAAAAGCAAAGAGACCAGAATACACCACCACGGCATCTGCAGAGGACGGGGAGAGGACCCAGGGGAGGGGAGCAAGTCATAATCACGTGAAGACTGACACTCTGAAAGAACAACCTCGGCTTGTGCAGATGCACTATGACCTCGAGTGCTCGGGGCTGGGCAGAGAGTGGGTACAGATTGGGTAGCTGGGGAGGGTAGGAGGAGTCTGAAGGGGGACATCCAAAGCTGCCTCCTAGGTGGGATCCAAATGCGAGACAGGGATCAGAAGCAGGGCAGTTTTATCGGTACTTGGGAAAAAGTAAAAGATGCAGGATAAATAAACAAGTACCACAGGACTTGCTAACGGCTAAGTGCTGTTCTGGGAATTTTATGAACATGTTTTGCTGAAAAAAACATTACTTGGTTTGCTTTCCTCATCTCTAACTGACCAGCTGACCACGATGAGCAAGTAAGCCTTCCATGTCCTATTCCTGTCACTCTCAAAGATATGTGCCCAAACCATAAGAGTGCTAAAAGAGCAAAAAGAGCTTAAAGGTCTTGGAATGAAAATTCCAAGTAACTAGTAAAGCTGTTGACCCACAAGACCGAGTGTTATATCTGACACACAGCAAACCAAAACACACAAACCATTCAAATCAATTTAAAAAAATTCATCAAGCTACCAAACTAGCTCCTAAAAGCCCTTGAACTACCCTGTTGGCAGGCATTAGTAATCTCCCTCTCTAAAAAATGAAAGCCACCATAATAGTGGCCCTTGTTAAAAGTCATATTCAGGCCAAGTGCCATGTTACTGAGTTCTCAAGCAGTATTAGAAGGTTAAGAGGGATCCCCACTTCACAGACCAGAACACCAAGGCTCAGAGTGATTCAGCTGACTAAAGTCACTGCGACCGTTAAGGGAGAATGTTAGGTCCACCTGATTCCACCTAGCACACTCCACTTCATATGAACGCACGGGGTAGAGCACAGATGTCAGGATTAAATGTGGCGAGACTCAGGTAAATTCTAGCTTTGATGTTGCTGTAATCACAGAGGAAAAAAATTGTCACTTATTTCCAACATAAGCCATTAATTATCCTAGGAAATGAGCAAAATGTTAATTATCTCCCCTTCTTCCCCCTCATCTGAGAAACTCCCATATTTGTTCTCTTGACAACTTCTTACATTAAGAGTTGTAAACACTTAAAAACCCATTCACATGCTTATTTGATATGCGAGGCAACATTTCATCTAGCGCGCACACACACATGCACATGTGTATGACCCCATCCATCTGTCCATCCATCATCCACTACTGTGTCAGATAGCTGTGGGACAAGGAACAAAGACATGCAATAAGTATTATCATCACATCCCTTGAGCAGCACCAGGCATGATTAAGTACTTACTAACTAGTATACAATAATTACTAATTAAGTAATTTCAAGAGACAAGTGGAGTATAGATGATTCCCAACACGTGATAGTTGAACCTACGATTTTTTTGGCCTTATAATGGTACAGAAACGATAGTGTTCAGTAGGAACCATACTTAGATTCTGGCCTTTTCCCAGGCTGTTGACACAGATACTCTGTGGGGATACAGGGCACCAGCAACGGGCTGCAGCTCCCAGTCGGCCGCCATGAGGAGCCGCACAGACACTCTGCAGTGCACTGCTGCTAAGCTGTGTGTGCCAGGTCAGGGGCATTACGTGAATTTTCAAGCTGGTGGGTTTTTCAGGACATGACTCCTCTCTAAGTGAAGGGGCAGCTATATATCTGAAAGGGCAACAGAGGAGGAGCCAGGGCAAGCTTGAGAACAGGTCCTGTCATGGCATCTCGCTTTGCATCTTTAGTCAGCTGAAGGCTGCATCACTGTCATTAGCCAAGCAGTCTGTGTGAGCCCCTCTACTTCCTTGCAGCTCATTTCCTTGTCTATAAAATGGGGGTAATGGTCTCTGCCCAGCTTAACCCTCTGCAGACCTACAGGAAACAAAATCATCAGGTCCGTCAAAGGCCAGGTAAAGAGAGTCACAAAATATGAAAGCCCTAAATACAGACTGTGAGTCGAGTCTTCTCACAGGATGTCCAAAGCCCTCATTACTGCCTTCATTTTTCCAAAAGATTTCTCTAAAATCTAAAATTCAAGCTAACAGCAGAGTGGCCCTCACTTCTGGGTCACCGTGGGTTGAAGAGCTGAGTTTCCATTTCAGCCAGGTCCCAGACATTCAGATGGATGGAGTCCTCGTTCAGTCTCTGAGGTCCTGTAGGCCAAATTACCACTTCTTTCTCTGATTAGACTTATACCATGCTCACAATGTGTCACATTAAACTAGAAACTTGAAAAATAAAAAAAAAAAAAAGGAAGAAAGACTTTTTGTGAAAACAGTGGTGATCTTATATAGGAACAGGATAAGTGTCTTAACTTTTACCAAGAAAAGTGGTTTGTTACAACATTCCAGTGGATTATGTCCTACTTTTCTGTCTCAGTGGAGAAATCAAACAGGAAATCACCTATTCACCAGGACTGGCAAACAGCTCATCAATCCTACCTGTGGTTTTACATAAATCCCCGCCTTTCACAAAAATACCATTTCAGCAAGGCAGTAAAGAGTCCCTAATTATGATCGTCAACCCTCAGGTAATGTAATATGACCCAGAAGACAGGAGATCATTTGAAGACCAGAAAGGGGACTGAGAACCAGAACTAAAGATCGACAAACGAACTCTCAATCCTGACGAGGAAATTCAGCTTCGCTCTGCCACCCACCTAGCCTTTCTTCACAAGCAGAGGCTGCGCATGGTTGACAGGTTTTCCACCGTAGTTATAATTTCATTTCACAAGTAAAGGGTTCTCTCACCAAGTATAATAGGAGAACAGAGAGCCTGTCTCTCTGTGAATTACTGAAACACAGTTTCTGATAGCCCATTTTGTCACATTGGGCAGAAAAGCCACCCCAAATCACTTCTTCTGTACCTGTCCACTATTGGGGCAGTAAGATGGTATAATAACAGTGAAGTAGAAAAGACCAGCTGGGCATGAAATGGTCCATAACACAAGGGATCTTGGGAAAGAGCAGTGTTTACCTCTACATTTTGGCTCTGCATATTTGTTATTTGGCCTACCACCACTTGTAGCCTTGGTACAAAAACTGAGTGTTAATCTTAGTAATCTCCAATGAGATGTGACCACAAAGAACAAAGTTATTTAAAAAAAAAAAAAAAAAGAGGAAGAGGAATTCAGCAGATAGCTTTTTACAAGTAATTTCAAAAAGGTTTTCTTAAGAAAATGAACCAGTGTAGATTCAGAGAATATAAATGACTTAATGCAACAAATGTGGGCTTTTTAAAACTGTTTTTCTTTTATTCTTAGACAGGACAGTGATTAAATACAGTTTAACTGACGCAGATGAATTTCAAACACAGGGTGGTCTTTTTCTCCTCTTAAAATAGATGGCACAAAGGTACCCATAATGAACCTGGACTCTTAATTTTATCCCAATCCTAGATCAAACCAATATGAAGAAGATGCAATCATTCAACATTAAGTACCATTAACTGCTAGTGGACACTATTATGACGCAGGGAAGATGCCCAAGGTAGGCTAACCTTCCAGAGACATTTTATCACCTAAATCCCATAAACAAGATCGCTAAATTGCCATTTGGGCACCTTTTTATCTAATCTGCCTTACTTCAGAGCATATTTAACTGGATCCAAAAAAAGGGGGAGGAGAAGTGGCTTATCAATACATATTAGGAAGAGCATCAGATGGCAAAAGAAGTCTAATCTTTTAGGTGCAATTTTGATTCTGGAATTATCAAAACGAGAATAACTCCTAGCAAAACAGCTCAAGATATACAAGTCTTGTTAGTGCCTGCAGGAAAGCAATACAGCAAAACCCCCTCCCCAGTCCAATTAGGAAAAAGCCCCTGAGGAGGCTCAAACCCTTCCCAGCCCAATTCTTGCTCATTTTTACTGGGTCTGTAACCGAGGCACCCTGCTCTGCTCTATCCTACACACCCTCTGGGATGCTATGGCATGCCTTAGTCAGCTTGTGCCACTTTAGCATTATCAGACCCCAACAACCAAAGTTCAATTGATCCCTTTTTGCCTTAAAAAACAACAACAAACTGTTTTCTCCTTCTTTTCTAAGTTCCTGCGGTAATTCTTCACAAAATCCAACTGAAAAAATCTGCAAGTCCTCCTGGATTTCTAAAGTCTAAGAAAACTAAACAGTAATTTAGAAAATACTGGCTATGACCACTCCCTAAAATTATTCCACAGAAAAAAGGAGCTGTACCACCTGTACCAATGATCTCAATAACTGACAATTTCTCTCTTCCTGCCCATTAGTATGCACACACAGTACCGATGATTTAAGTCAACACTACAATGACACCTCATCTTTCTGAATCACAAAGGGTGGAGAGAATGCAGTTTGAATGAAATTTGATTTAGATTACTTTCTTTCTTTCTTTCTTTTTTTTAAGTGAAAGAATAAGGCACTTAGCTAGGGAGCCATAGTATGATTAAAATAAACAAATAGCAAAAACAAAAACAAAACCATGGACCCGATGCCCTGACAGGTTTGTAAAGACAACATAAGCGGCCAGCAAGGCCATGTCAGCTTCCAACATATGAAGAATGGCAGTTCCCTTTGCAAACGTAGAGCCCGTGGAAACAGACCGGAAGTGCCCTCTAGTCTCCACATCTATCAAAGGCTTTCCATCGCCAATCCCAATTCCCTGACCAGCCCCACGCCAGAGGTGACCTACACCTCCTAAGAGTGCTGATGACATTTCCTGAGCATTTTAACAGCTAGAGCCACAGGGGTGGTTTACCTGTGCGTTTTGCTCTCGATTCCAGTTATCATTCCTGTTTCCCTAGTGCCACACAACACACTTACACAAAGGAGGAACCCCCAAAATGCCAGTGATCTGCCAAAGAAGATTAGAGGGGACTCTGCCGACTTGTCATGCAGACGGAGAACATGGCAAATGACCAAACCAGGACACTCATGAATATGGCACCATGGTGACTTTTACTTATTTTGTAGCAGAAGGGGTGACTTGCCACCATCTGGAGTTTCACCTTCCCCTGTTTGTTTTATTCCTGCTCGTTCCTTTAGGCAAACAGAAAAATTCACTTAAGCCAGGACACAAAAACTGGCATTTTGAGTGATACCTTAGAAAAACATCTTTCGATGTACTTTTGGTTTTATTTTCTCTGTAGAAACACTCTAAACAGTTCATTAAAAAGGGGTCCTAAACATGTTTAAGTGATTTGCTTTACAGAAAATTATTTTAAAAAGCAATATTTTGAAAAGGCAGCAGCTGTCGGGTTCCCCTTATGCTCCCTCTGAGCAACCCTTCAATGCCCGGGGTTGTGCTACCCACAGCTCTTCGCAGACCACAGTTCCACTCTGCAGCCACCTAGGGCGCCGGCTGGGCCCTGCTGGGGCTGGGGCTGGGGAGCTGGCCAGGAGCACTGACCACCCCACCGCAGCAGCCGAGCAGAGATGGCAACTCCTAGCAGCGTCTCCCGGTTGAAAGGACGAGGCACGAGCTGTTTGCTCACATTGTCTACCTCTGAAGGTTACAACAAATCAGCCTCTGATCCAATTAAAATCCCTCCAGTTCATGTTTCCTCCAAGAAGGACAAAGCACAGATGACCCACGAGCTTGCTGGGAACACAACCAGTCGGGTGTGGTGCTGGCTGATAGATGAAGAGTTAAAAAAGATTAAAAATTTAAGTCATGACTGCCACGAAATTGTTTATTCATGGTACAGTGTTTTGGGCAGTTACAGCTGTACAACAGTAAATTGTTAACAACCATTTCCTGAAGAAAAATTTCCATTATAGATCACAGAGAAGACAAGGAGCAGAGCGCAGCGGGCAGGGAGATGGGGTTCCGCCGGCAGAGGATGTGTCAGCTGCGAGTCAAGAGGGCCCATCCTTCCCTGAAATCACGGGAAACTGAACTGTGAGGACGATGACATTTACCCTAATTGCTGCATCTAATTAAAATTAAGGTAATTAAAAATTTTCAATGCACTTTAAATGTGACGTAGGGCATAATTAGATTTTTAAAAATATCGTGAGGGCAGTTGGGTGAAGGTTAGCATACAAGAGTGGGGAACAGATTAGCTCTCAGAAAACAGGAGGGAATGGCAGTCTGTCAAGAGGTATTATAGGGGGATGTGTTTTCTTCCTTTCTAAAGACCAGGACTTAACAATGCGGAACATCTGCACCCTGCCTCTCCCGAGCATGCCTACATGGGACGCGCTGCTCGAGTCAGTCTTCTCCTCAGTGGAACCGGCTGGTGAATCAGCAAAATGTCAGTATCCTGGGAAAGCTGCTACTATTATTTTGGGTTGGCAGGAGAGAGCTGTGTTTCCAGAAACATAGCAGGTGACTTTGGTATTCATTCACAGGATGAGGTGTGCCTCAGGGTCTCTGTCAGAGATGTGGTGAAGCCCACAGGGAAGGTCCCAGAGCAGGAAGGAACGCTGGACAGGACATCAGCACCTAGAGTGCCAGCCTTGCCTCCACAGTTAGCCGTCCAGCACCTGGCCTCACACTTGTCACTACAGAAGCAAATAGGGCACTAGGCTAAATTACTGCTAAGGTCTAAGGGATTTTGGAAGCTTCCATTCTATAGATGACTTGAAAGTGAAGTCACAACTCAAATGCCAATCACTGAATCTTTGAGAACCACTTTGTCCTGGAAAGGATCCCTCATATGGCAGGTAATGGCTTCAGAATAATTATTTACCTCCTCTCCAAAATCTGTATGTGGAAACCCAATGTGTGAGAGTGTTTGGAGGTGGGGCCTTTGGAGGTGATCAGGTTGCGAGGGCAGAGACCTCAGGGATGAGATAGATTAGTGCTCTCATAAAAGAGCCAGCACGTTCCCTCGCTCCTTTCCCCACAGGAGGACACAGTAGGCTGTCTATGAACCAGGAAATGTGCCCTCACCAGATACCAAAGCTGCCAATGCCTGGATTTTGCACTTCCCAGAATCCAAAACCATGAGAAACCAATTCCCACTACTTCTCAGCCACCCAGTTCATGGTATTTGGTGATACAGCCCAAGCTGACCAAGACAATGCCCACTGTACAACACTGCTTGAGCATCCAGCGCAGCTCACGGTGCCTGGAATGTCAAGGCATCAAAGCATGTCCATGGAATGAATCCAGGAGACCTTCCATGGAGCTCATGGACACAAGCTAACTGACCATGGCTCTCTATATAATCCACACCCCCCACAGCAACCCCTGGTGAACACAGTCCTCAACCTGGGGACCAGCAGAGCAATTCTTAACACTGTCAAACATTACATGGAAGCATCAGAAATGTCTTAAGATTGCCCTTCAAGAAGTCGGCATTAAAATTATTCACTGATTTATTTCTATGAGAATTATCAAGCAAGAAAGAACCTAGTCAGACATGCTCTCAGGAGAGAGATTACCAGCAGGATGAAAATAACGTGAAGCAGCAGCGGATTTCCCATGAATATCACTCAAGCAGACTAACTACATTTGTCTCTTACCTCTGGAAATCTAGAGTCAAACAGAACAACTATTAAGAGGAAATTTTGGTTTAATGAACATAGCCTTGTCCACAGGCACATCAAAAATCTTTTACATTAAAGCTATTGCACACTTGATGGCAAAGACAAAGTATGAAATGGTTTTGGAAGTCATGACTCAAATTCACTTACAAGGAACATTTACCAAGTGCCTAATGAGCAACAGGAACCTGCTTGGCACTCTGACAGCTTCTCTGATCCTCTCACTAACACTGAGAGCCAACTATCTGTGCAGGTGAGGGGAGGCACCGTGCTTTACCTAAGAAGGGAAGCTGGGAGTCAGACCTTCCAACCAATAGGAAATGTTCTTTATTCCTCTTTAAGGAACTGGAATATAGCAGTGGACAAAACAGACGAGCTTCCCTGTCCTCAGGCCATCCCAGTATGCTTTCCACCACGGTTCACTGCCTCTCCTGGTCAGATCCACTGGGCCATCTGCTAGTGGAATGATGTCTAGATCAACACATTCAAATCTGTCTGGCCTTGCCTCAATAAGGGGCTTCCAAAATCAGTTCCTGAAAATTAATGCTGCTAATGTCTGAACAGATACATCATTATGAATTCTAGTACTAATAAAAGCAAATAGGACAATTAAGGATTTGCCCAAGGTTTGTTAACAGATAAAAACTGGATTTTCAAATGAGTAAAGAGCAACGTGTGTTTCAAGATGGAAGATAATTAGAATGGAAATAGAACACCAGACGTGACAGCACATATCAGCAGAGACAGACAGGGGAGGAGCGTAAACAGCCCCCTCCCCGAGTCAGCCTTCTACTGAGGATAGATCTGAAAGGATATCTGTATTATCGTGTCCCAGCAATCCGAGAAGCGACTGCACAGCATTCAGCTCCACCAGAAGGTGGTACAGGTCTGGCATGGTGGCCACCACGTGCATCTCTTGAATGATGTCATTCAGGTCCAGCTCGGATTCCATGAACCTAGGAGGGGAGAACAAGACAGCGTCATTAAAAGGAAGGGGCACTACTGGCTCCGAGGAGCAAACAGCAACACATCCAGACAAAGAGGCGATCTGTCAAAGTGTCTACGACAGACCAACTAAGAAGTACACTCATCCAAACATCATACTGTCACACAATTTCCTTGGGAAATCGATTTCCTCATTACAAAAATCAATCTTGGGTTCAGATCTCATTACAGGGTCCCCCTTACTCCTGCGGTCACAAGCTGCCTTTTAGAGGCTCTCAAAGCATTTTGCAGCATTAAATGATCTGCACGCCAGTGCTATAGATTAGCAGCTACCAACGCCCCTTGGTGTGGCAACTCACTCTGGCCCTGAACTAGCTATCCCACCAATCCAAAGGGGCTTCTCTATTCCCCTCTTCAGGTCAGAAGTCAATTATTCCCCTCTTCCACAGGAAGACAGTGGGATTCTGCAGCTCCCCCCAAAGTTCCTCTTTTCTCATGCTGATTAGGAGGCAGATCCCAGGTGAGGCTGACCTCATCTCTGGCATCTGTAACCACCACCACATCCACCCAGCATACCCCTCACTCACACTTCTACACGGGAACTTCTCAGCAACCTGTGCCCAGGCCTGAAGGGCGGAGCTACTTTGCATTCACTTTGCACACCCTCCCCTAGTGCCTGACACGCGAGGAACATCATTAAGCCTCGGAGGAACGAGACAGAAAGGTCTGTTCTAAGAAGGAAATGAGCAGAGCCGTGTAAAGCAATCAAACGATACCTGATTGAGAGTGACCAGAGGAAGCAGCGGTTAAACAGAGCCCGGGTCCAGACTGCCCGGGTTTGAACCTGGCCTACCCACCTACTCAGCCTCTCTACATCTTAGTTTCTTCATCTATAAATGGGGACAATACTGTTACCTGTGTCACAGAGCTACTGTAAAGCATAAAAGTAAAAACACATAAAGCACTTACGACGACATACAGCATAGAAGAGTCCCTGTGACTACACTGCACTTACTGCTATTATCATGACACATCCATCTTCTCTTCTAGAACATAAGCTTCTTAAAGTCAGGAACCCTATCTTTTGTACATAAATGCACAAATGCCTACGTTCACTGAACAGAGGTCCAAAAGAAAGAGAACATAAGCAGGGACTCTTAAAGTCATATGAGACTCAACAGCGTCCAGACACTGAGCCTGGGCAGATACCAGAATCTAGACATCTAGAGTCCATAAGGAACAAAATATGAGACTACAACTTTTCAAAATTTGCCCATATTTAGATGACATTCCTTACCATCGTTTTTCCCCATTATTTTTAATAACATTTATATTTTTTTCTAATTACAAAATACTACTTTTTATAGAAAACAGGAAAAAGAATGACAAAACCTCAAAAAGTCAACAGAAGCAGGATGTGGTAGTGCACACCCGTAACCTCAACTACTCTGGAGGCTGAGGCAGGAGGGTCGCAAATTTGACTGGGCTACTCTTAGCAAGACCCTGACTTAAAAAAAAAAAAAAAAAGAAAGAAAGAAAGAAAAAGAAAAAAAGGGGGATGGTGCTGGGGGATTACCTTAGTGGCAGCACACTTGCTTAGCACACAGGGTTCAAACTCTGCTCACACACACACACACACACACACACACACACACACACATACACACTACATGGAAATCATTCATGACCCTATAAATAAGAAATTCTCATTGACAACATGCTTGTGTGTTTAAGTCATTTTCTCAACTCACAACCTTCTTCTCCCCCAAAGTTACAGAGCATGTATAGTTCTTTTTTTTTAAGAGAGAGAGAGAGAGAGAGAATGAATTTCAATATTTATTTTTCAGTTTTTGGCGGACACAACATCTTTGTTGGTATGTGGTGCTGAGGATCGAACCCGGGCCGCACCCATGCCAGGCGAGTGCGCTACCGCTGAGCCACATCCCCAGCCTGAGCATGTATAGTACTAAACTCGAGTTTTGCTGTCACTGGTAACACAGGTTGAAAAATTTACCCTTCTTTAACCATTCTTTGACAGCAGGTCAGGCCACCTGACCAACTGTTGTCAGTGGCTCTCTTTCTCCCAGGGCAAAACCTCGAATGACCAGAAGCGCTCCTCCCTGAAGAGCCCAGATACAGCTGCAGAAGACAGCCCTACCCACAGTGCTCCAAGAACAGTCTAGCAGTCAGCCACACAGCGTAGCGGAGGCTGAGTTTACCTGCAATTCTTGTTCTAAATCATAAATTTTAAATAGCTACGTAGTACATCCCCTTGTGTTGGTGTACCATAATTTATTTAACCAATCCCCCTTTGTCAGACATTCGATGCTTCTAATTTTTCCCCCATAACAAATGACACTTAGAGGCAAGCATTTCTAATGAATGTGTTAGGATAAATTCCCAGGAAGGCAAGTGCCAAGGCAAAGAGTACACCTGACTTAACAGATGTTGACATGTTCTGCCAGAAAGGTGGCAGCGTGTGTGAGGAGCCCGTTTCCCTGCCCTCTCCACAGACAGCATCACTCCCTTCAGACCACCTCCAGTACAAGATCAGAAAGGCTCTTTTAACTTTTTGTACTTCACACACTAAAATGGTTAAAATTCTTCTAATGTTTACTATTTGGGTTTATTCTTTATCCATTTTGAAATCGGGGTGCTCATCTTGATTAATGATTTATTAATGCTCTCTATATTAAGGAAATGAAGCTCTGTCATATGTTGCAAAAAAGGAAAAACAAAAGTATTGCCCTTTAATTTGTTCACTGTGTTTTCTGACATAATTATTTATATTTATTTATTTACTTACTTGCTTACTTTTTGACATAATGGTTTTCAAAAGTTCAGGTGGTCAAATTTTGCCTTATGAACTCTATTTTACATATACCTTGAGCAAAGACTTTTCTATGCTAAGACCACATAGATTTTATGGTGTATATATATATATATATATATATACTTTTTTATATATACTTAAATGTTTAATCTATCTGAATTTAATATATCATATAGGCCAAAGGTCAAATTTCATTTTCTGCAAGTATTTAGCCATCTACCCCAATATGATACTCTATCCTTTCCCACTCATTTGAAGAAATGCCATCTATCACACACTAAATTTTAATGCAAATTTTAGTCTGTTTTTGAACTTTTCACTCCACATCACCAGTTTATCTGGTAATTTCTAAGCCAGGACCACACCTCCACATGGTTATAGCTTTAGAGTATGTTTAATGTCTCTTATTGCGAAACACTCCCTTGATAAACCTTTTCAATGCTTCCTTACCTTCTCTCTCACCTGCTTGCTCTTCAAAGTAAATAACATATTTTTTAAATCAAGATTCTCCCCCAATGTATATATTTTTATTTTAAAGACTCCTTCCTTTGTGCTTATAAATAGAGTACTTTTTAAAGTCACTATTCCCCATCACCTGAAATGTGGAAGCCAAATCAGAATCGTGAGTCAGGAGCGGAGGTGGGGGTGTAACTTAGGGAGAAAACTGCGAAAAGGAAAAAAAAAAAAAAAAAAAAAGGCTGGTGCAGAAGGATTCAAATATTCCAGGGCAGCAAAAGAGCATAATCCCTGAACCCAATGGGTTTAGCAAACTTCTAAGGCTTATTGTCTTACATGGTATTTAAAAAAAAAAAAAAAAAAAAACTTCAAAAAAATAGTAAGTTGACCAAGTAAGTTTTCTAGTCCATCCAGAAGAACTAGCAAAGGAGACTAAGCCCTAGATAACAATAAACAAAACTGTGCTGAGCACAAGACAAGATTTGGGGATCTGGGTGGAAATCGGGAAATGAGTGTCAGACTCGGGGAAGCCTTCAAAACTCCTGTGGGGCTCTGTCCTCGGGACTGTTTAGATCAATGATTTTGTTCTATCATGACTCTTTGATCAGTGAATCGGGTGAACATGAACATACAAAAAAGACGAACTTTACAAATGTCATATTAACACAATTTAAAGAGACAGAAAACACACCAGCTAACAGAATCAATTCCCAAGATCCCGACAGGTAATAATGATGCAGCAAATCCAACCGAGGGAAAATTACCTGGGACAAATGATGAAAACTGAAGCATTGAACCAAAAAGCCGAGTATAAGTGTCTGTGATAGGAAAGGAGCATTTCACAAGAGTATGTGTGTGTATAAAGGACTTGATGGTTCAGCCAACCCTAACTGCAACACAAATCAGAACCATGAGGTGGGTCTACTCCCTACTCATCTCTGGCCACCAGCATCTGCCCTATTTACCGTCCACCAAGAGACCTGGCAGGTGCCTGCCAAAGGAAGGAGCAGAGGAAAGCAGTGACCACAAATGCCACTATGGTTTTAGAACGCTTAAAAGAAGACACGAGCTCTCGTGCCAGTCAGACAACCTTGAAATTTTGTAAAAATCTGTCCTACGAACCTAACTTGAGGGGATATGGAAACTGACCCTGGGAGCAACCAAGATTACAAATAGTTTAGACAGCCTCTCAAATTTGTTGGAGTTCTTCTTCAGTTGAAATCTTGAGTCAGAACTGCCAAATGATGGAATAGGTTTCTTTGAAAGCAAGATCCTTGCGACTGAGGGTAGCTTTGTGTTTTTTTTTTTTTTTTTTAAGGATAATACTAAAACAAACAAAAAAACACACCAAGACCTAAATGGTTTCTTCCAACTTTGCAATTCTTCTTCCAAATATATGGTATTAACCCAAATTTTTAAGTTTAGAAAGTCAGAAAACTATTAAAACAAAATAAACCAGTAGAAACAAAACTACAAGATAAAAAACATCACAAAACTACCTCTGGGTCCAGTGTGAGGTAAGTAATGAGCTAGGGTGGTAAACGCCTGGGTCATTCTCCCAGCCATACTATTTACTGGCTGTAAATAAATAAGGATTTCAAGCACATACTAGGTGCCAGTCACCATCTTAGGTACTGGCTAAAACAGATAACAAGATAATCCCAGTTTTTGGCTTCATCGAGTCTCTGTCTAGCATGAATATAACAATCTATAAGAATTAACTGTAAGGACGCCCAGTACTATCAGAAGAAGTGCCCCTGGAACACAGAACACGGGGTCCCAACCTGGTCAAGGAAGCAGAATATCAACCACTTATCTCTAAACCTCAATTTCCTTACCTTCCTAGCTGAATTACAGTGATAATTAAAATAAATACTCTATTTAAAGTGCCTAAGCATATTATTTTTGTCACAGAGTAGGTGGCAAACAAATCTGTGTACCTTCAAGTTGGCCATGCTGTGACAAAGACAATTTTCTTCTGTTTTGCTGACAGAAAAAAATTCTACAGCACAGACTTACTATTTACTGTGGGGAATCAGCACACCTTCAGCAATAACTGACTCCTAGCTGGGGAAAGAGGCCATGGGAAAGCAATGAGCAACATATTTAAACAGTAACCCAGGCTGAGAGGGGATCATGGACTCCATCTGACATGACAGAACATTCTCCTATCCTCCCGCTGTACATTTGCTTCAGACAGACAGGACATTCACCTTCCACCACCAGAGCGAACATTAGCAAAGTTCAAAATCACTGGACCAGAAAAGCAACAGAAACCAAAGAGTGCAACCTGCATCCACACAGCCGGCAATTACAGTGGGGGAGTGCAATGCTCCCTCCACCAATTAAATCAGCAGTTCTCTAGGTGTGGTCCTGGGACACAGGACAGAAATAGGGGGTGGGGGGTGGGGATCCTTCCAGGGGTCCGTCAGACTGAAATTATTTTATAGTAATTCTGTTACTTGCCTTTGTCACTCTTTCTCTTTCGAGGGTGTCCCGTGGGGTTTTCCAGACAGTTACACAATATCCTGATGGCTAATGGCATATGTGCTTGTACGGTCTTCTATTTTTGAGAATTTTGTAACAAAAGCACTTTGGGGTACTCAATAATTTAAAAGTACAAACAGCCAGAGAATCACACACTAGATAATTATGACTCTGCAGAAATGAAGAGAAGAACGATGAAAGGACTTCCTAGGGACAGCACACGCTACTCCAGGGTGTCTGGGAGAAGCACTGCTCGGTGCAAAGCGGAGGCAGTGGAAGGACTGTCAATTGAATCTGAAATGCAGCCAAATGAAGAGGCGTTTGGGGTATGCGATCAAAATGACAACTACACATACCGGAAAATAAATGGGAATGTTTTTTATCTCATCTGGAAAGTTTCATTCAAATATGCTCTAGCAATTTTCATCTTAATTGAGCCTTGCCAGTCTCAAGAATTATGAAAAACACCACACCAGAAAGAATCCGAGAACTCAAGGTCAGAAACACAGTTTCCTAATTGCTTTTTGACACAACAAAAAGGTTTCCTTATGCATAATTTCAATTTTCACATGTTCAGATTTTAAAACTAAAATAGTATATCAATTTTGTCTGAACAGAATACATTGTTAATTTTTTTAAAAACATTTTCTTAAAAACAGCTTATGAACTGTAACACCAAAGCACAGTGCTTCCAAAGGTGACAACAGCCCAGAGAAACTCACTATTCTGAATTGCTGGGATATCTACCAAGGGCAATATCGGTATTCCAAGAAGTAAACTGATTTCTTACACTTTCAGTGATAACAGTTTACAGCATGGCTTCTTCATAATGTGGTCTTAGGTTCTAAGTGATGGAGATATAATGAAGATGGAATGGATCATACAATAGCCCTCATGTTTTCCAAAAACCCACAGAACGGCAGGTACTAGGCTGGCACTACAGAGCCAAGAGACAGGAGAAGAATTTAGAGGAAGAGTCTCAGGCAGGAATCACTGAGTAGAGAAATAACAATAAAACAAATGGCAAAGGTGTTTAAAGACCCATCACAGTTACTGTGCATAAGAATGCAGGGACAGATGCGGCTGGAGGAAGAATAAAGATACAGTGGGAGACCCCGCAGGAGCTATGGAAGTTTAAAATGTACACATCCCTCAATGTGGGAATTCAACATTTAGGTATCTACACTAAAAAGATACACATACAAAGAGACAAATGTACAAGAAGATTCACTGCAGCACTATTCATAAAAGCCAATAATTAAGATAACCAAATGTCCATCAATCGGAAAATAACTAAATAAATAATGGTATTTCCCAACCACAAAATATCATGCACTAGTTAAAACAAAAAGTGGATGAAGTAGATATGCAGAAAACTAACATGAAAACATTTCCTGATATGTGAATTCAAATGCCAAGGTACAGAATACATACAGTATGATTTGTTTTTTAAATATTTTTTTAGTTGTCAATGGACCTTTATTTTATTTATTGATGCATGGTGCTAAGAATTGAACCGAGCCTCATACATGCTTGGCAAGCGGTCTGCCACTGAGCCACACAACCCCAGCCCCACTGTAATTTATGTAGGAAAAAATTCTCACATTTACTAAGTATACAGAAAATAATCCGAGAGATATTCATGAACTGTTCACAGGTTACATCTAGGTAGGGGAATGAAAAGGGAGTCATTGCAGTGAAGGAGAACTTTCCTTTCTCCTTCTACTTATGCTCTGTTGGTATTCTTTACAATGACAACCTATTTATACATTACTTGTGTAATTAAACACACACACCCAAGTGCTACCACATGGTGAAGGTCAGCACAGAACCTGATAGGTGCTGGGCAGCAGAGCTCTGATCCAGCTACTACTACTGTCCAAGAGTACAGTGGGCTTGGTCTGGTAACCAGCTTTTCCCTCCTCTGCTCCCTGGCAGGGTGGACCACACTGGCCTCCTCGGGTTGCAGTGAAGCCTTCAGTCTGACACCTGGGTGTTTTGTCTTTACACTGTCTGTGTGCCTTTCCGTGTTCTTTTCTGCCTAATATAATTAAAGTCATTCTTCAAGGCCCAGCTCATATACCGTCTTTTCTGTGAAGTCCTTAATAGCCTGGAACTTGAGTTTCCGGTCTCTTCCCCTATGCTCCCAGAGCTCTCTACTTTTATCTTTTTAAAAGACTGCATGACCTTCTACCTTGCATTTGTACTCAGTATCCCTGGTAACCTACGGTCCTGAGTGCAAAGACCATACTGTTCAACTCTTAATCGCCAGGGGCTTTGAGCATATAAGATTCATTAAAACTGTGTAACTGGGAAGGGAGAAAGACAGGGAGGGAAAGATATTTAGCACATTGAAATCTCTATAAATATGAAAGAGCTTTTAGTGAAGACTCAAGACTGGCCAAAAGACACGGGATCTGTTGTTTTGGCACTTCATGGTGACAATCACACCAGGGCATTTCATGAGCATCTAGCACGTGCAGGCACTGAGCTGAATGCTATGATCACTCTCACTTCCTCTTCACAGCGACTCCACATGGAAGCTATTATTTCTTTACATTGACAAAACAGCTACAGCCAAGAAAGGGGAAGTGACTTATTTAAGATCATTTGGGAGTCGCATCCATATTTGTCTAACCCCAAAGCTTTTGACATTTTGTCAGCAGCAGAGCTCTCACTACTGGAAGCCATGAGAAGAATGATGCAGGAAAGAATTAACATAGCGGCCTGATCTTCAGAAGGGCCTGCTGCAAGGCTGCCCACGGCTGGCAGCTGGAAGCTTGGCTTTTGAAATGTTCCCTAAGTAATAAGGTTGTTTTGCCAGCCTGGGGCACTGAACAGCTGCTTTCCTTCTGGGAGTCTGGAATTCTGGTGTTGTTCCTGCCAGAGATGCTTACATAACCAATCTTAATTAAAAACTCTGGACTTGGAGTCTCAAAGGAGCTTCCCAGGATGGCAACGCTGCACCATGTTGAGGCAATTCACTGCTGGAAAAAGGAGTGTGTCTGTCTGGCCCTCTCCCGTGGCGAGAAGCCTGCACATGAATTTCTCCAGACTCTGCCTGTCGAGTACCCTGTTGTGTACCCTGTCGCTGTATAAACCATAGTCCTAAGTAACACTGATTCTTAGTCCTCTGAGTCCTATGAGTGATTTCCCAAATATGGGGGTCATCCTGGGACTCCTGATCCAGACCAAAAAGCCAAGGCAAACAAACAAACAAACACAAAATTAGCAAACACAACACTGCAGAGGAGGAAGGACATCAGCCAAACAGAACCTTACTTCTCTGGATTGTCTGGAAACTTGATCCGCAACTCTTGGTTTTTATAGGATCTCTTCTCAAATGTGAGGATCATCTTCTTCACTGAGCTTTCATCCAGCGGTTCCTCCTGGTACAAAGAGACGAACACAACAACTTCAGTGCACAAGAATTTCACATTTACTGTCACCACTTTCCTGTGGCTCTGATGATCCACCTCACTCTGCTACTGGCCCTCCTGGGTTTGATGGACAGTATACACTTTTTCTCCCCCATGAGAATCATGGCTGAGAGGTCACATCAGATGTATTCTCTGGGTGTCTCACATAATCTCCAGTCTCTATAATGCAGGGAATTCAGTTTAAAGCATGAAGAGACTCTTTGAACAAATGTTTCTTGAACATACCGTATAGCATAGAGTAAGCAATAATACTAGATATTATTATTTAACATTTATCTTGTTCTTTGCCTTTGTTGTACAGGTAAGATTCAGAAGTTCAATGGGCTAGGGTTGGGGCTCAGTGTTAGAGCACTTGCCTAGCATGTGAGAGGCACTGGATTCGATCTTCAGGACCACATAAAAATAAATAAAGGTCCATTGACAACTAAAAATATATATATATTAAAAAAAAAGAAGTTGTTCAGGGGCTGTAGCTCACTGGTAGAGCTCTTGCCTCACATATGTGAGGCACTGGGTTCGATTCTCAGCACCACATATAAATAAAAAAAAATAAAGGTCCATTGACAACTAAAAATATATATATATTAAAAAAAAAGAAGTTGTTCAGGGGCTGTAGCTCACTGGTAGAGCTCTTGCCTCACATATGTGAGGCACTGGGTTCGATTCTCAGCACCACATATAAATAAAAAAAAATAAAGGTCCATTGACAACTAAAGAAAAAAAATTTTAAAAAAGAAGTTCAAAAGAACTTGTTCAAGATCAAGTCCAGGGGCAGTGACTGTGGCTCCTAATCTTCTGCCCACACCAGGAATTGGCCCACTACTATCCTCAGAACAAATCCATCCCACTGCCTACTGTTTTTATGTGTTTTATTGTTATTGTTGTTGTTGCCGTCTTTGGTAATGGGGAGTAAACCCAGGGGCATTTTACCACTGAGCTACATCCCCAGTACTTTTTTATTTTTAAATTTTGAGACAGAATCTCACTAAATTGCTGAGGCTTCCCTCAAACTTGTGATCCTCCCGCCTCAGCCTCCTGGGCTGCTGGGATCACAGGGATGTGCCACTGTGCCTGGCCAACTGCCTGTTTTTGCACAGCCCACAGCAAAGAATGGCTAATTGGATAGAGCCACTGTGTTACCTTTCTCCCATGTTACTGTGTCTGGTCTTCACTAGCTGATGAGAACAAGTTCTGAATCCTGGCTGAGGCAGGAGGATTGGATCATGAGTTCAAAGCCAGCCTCAGCAAAAGCAAGGCTCTAAGCAACTCAGTGAGACCCTGTCTCTCAATAAAATACAAAATAGGGCTGGGGATGGGGCTCAGTGGTCGAGTGTCCCTGAGTTCAATCTCCGGTACCAAAAATAAAGAAAGAAAGAATGTAGTAATCTTGCCCAAAGTAAGCAACAACAACAACAAAAAGCTAGTAGACCATATAGAATTGTCTTACTTCATACTCCGTAATAATACCAACAAAGGTAAATAAAATGAATATTTGAAAATTGAGAACTCCCTGCCAAAAGCAATCTACACCAAAATTTCAGAGATGTTTTCTCTTCAGTTTACTTTCCAGTTTAAATTAATGAGCTGCAGTGCACCTTGCCTCTCTAACATGCACCCAACTCCCCCCAGCTTCAAAGCTTTGTAGTCACTGACCATAATTCACACGTAAAAGCAATGAAAGAAACCTGCTGTTAAGAGAACTTGAAATAGATACTTCTGGAAAGCACTGAATTATCCCATAATTTTGTAAGTACCCTGAAAATATTAGCTCTTATTTTATTAGTAAGTTTCAATTTTCACGTACTGGGTTTTAAGTGAGAGATACCTATACATTCATCTTGGGCACAACACATTTCTCAGATTGTGTCAATGACGCCAGCATCCTGAGGTACTCTTTTGGACTCTCCCCGATCCCTAGGATCAACAGTTCCAAGAGAGATTCCCTGACAAGGTAGAAAGTAAAGTGACTGTCCTAGCTCAGCCAAGACTGAGAGCCTCCCTTCATTTCTTACTAGCCACATGGCAATGTAACTTTGCTGAATTACTCCTCAAACCCTCCCTAACGCCAAACGATTCTCCCTCATAAGTCTTTTCCGAATTCATCCACCTGCACCTACAATAAGATCCTGAATCCTTCTCATTGCCTGCATAAGATGGTCAGGCAAGACCTGGCCCAGATAATCTCTCCAACCCCACACTGGAGCAGTACCAGTTGCTGGCCCTCGTCTCCTGGTTCACTGCAGCTTCTCCAATACCCAGCTCACAGCAGTTACCCAGGCAAGGTCCACTGCAGGGGGGAAGGGAGGCAGGAAGGGCTAAATGAAAATGTTTCCTGCGTCTTTCAAGGTCATAGAGATGGCCTACAGAAATTATGTACAGAAAACTATTTGGTAAACCACACTGATGTGAGCTGTTCCTAAGCTCAGCGTACCCAACATATCATACCACTAGGGTTTAACTACAAAAATCAAATTTTCTGGGAAAGTTTTCAAGCAAACTTGAAACAAAGCAAACAATAGCCACTGCTTTTCTTTCCCTGTGCTAACCCCTTGCCCACCCTGTGGAAAACTGTGTCAGTTTCCAAGCAGCTCTCCTGGGATTCCCAAACACCAGCCCCTCCCGGGTCTGGCCTTCCCCCCTTTAATTTCTCTCCAACACTGGGGGAAACTGAATTATCAGTCTTAGTCATCGGCCACAGCAGTATCTCCAATAGCTCAATGTCAGAAACCGGAGGGAGATTTCAGAAAGATGAATGCTGGTGATGTAGCACAAAAAGGACAATAATATTTTACAAGTTCACGTGACTTTACAGGGGCAAGCATCACTTGTTTTTCATCAAATGGGACTTTGGTGGCAGTGAGAAAATAACTCCTGGACCTGTAGCCGTCCATGTGTCATTTTTACAAAGCGATCTCTTTTTCCCTGTCCCTTAACAGAAGGCCTGGTCCCACATTACATTTCTGTCTCCCGGGCTAGAAACCACTTACCCATGACAGCTACTGTCCTAATCCTCCAGGACCAGCCTTGCTCTACACGGGAATTATACCTGCCAATTAACCGCTGCTGCAGGGCGAACAGATTGGGCAGAGGCACAGGGGAGGGGGGACATGTGTGCACGCACTGCGGGTGCGAGCCCTGGAGAGGCTGCTGCCCTCAGAGAGGAAGCAGAATTCACGCCGTCCCCCACCGCACATTGCCAAAGTGGCACCATCTTTCAAGGGCTGATTCCCAAATTAGCACTGGTACAAATCCTAATGAGGAGAGAGCTATTGTCACAACACAGCAAAGACCTTTTTGGAATATGAATCAATTTTTTTTCCCTCCGACTCACACTCCAGCCTCATTTTTAAAATCCAAACTTAGCATCATATCTTTGAGGGAAGTAGAAAACAGCTGGCTCTTAAGAATCTATTTCCATAATTCATAGTGAACAAAATGCCAGAGTGAAATAACACAGAAGTTAGTGCTCGGGATTTAAAAAGGCACAACGGTAAGGTCATTTTGTTTGTAATCACTGGTATTTTGCCTCCACTCTTCTCAGTTTCATTTACTTATTCATTCACTACATATTCGTGAAGGCCTACCCAGAGCGAAGCACCGTCCTGAGTGCGGGGTTCCGCTGTGCTGTCACAGCGACGCCCCTGTCCCATGGGAGGCTGAGGACAGGCAACAATGAATAAAATAAACAGATAGGAATTTCAAACCCTGACACTTGCTGTGAAGACAATACACTGAGGAAAGCGACAGAGGATGCGAGGATGGCTCGCAGGCTACCTGAGAGCAAGGCAGCTTTTTGGAGGAAACACCAGACCTGAGACCTGAGTGGGAGGAAACCAGCCGCGAAGCACTCGGGGAAGAGCATTCCAGAAGGGACCTGGAGATAAAAGGCCCTGGGCCTACTCGATCCCCCCACCTCAGCCCCGACCTGCGCTGGGACTACAGGTCCACCCACGTCACCACAGCAGGCCACACCAGGCCACAAGCTGCTTTCCCTATCACAGCTAATCCCAGAACACCCTTGAAGGTCTCCACCTTTGTTGTTTTGCTGATGCCACTTCCTTCCTCTACCCCAAAAGCCCTTCTCCACTTGTCCAAGTGACAGAATTTGACTCCACTTTCAAAGACTCCCGGCTATATTCAGAGTCGCCAGTGCCTTCTGGGTGTCCTCGGAGCAGCCGTCTAGGAAGCGGCCCAGGCCCCTCCAGCCACCCAGTCACCTTCCTCTCTGTTCCCACAGGGCCTCCTCGTAGCATGTAATCTGGGATGATTTTTAGAAACTCTCTCCGCGTTGTCCTTACACTTTGTCCTTACACTTTGCAAATGGCTTCCCAAACTCCATTTCTCCCCTGACATTCACATCAGCACTGTAAAGGAGGAAGTGTCAACCCCATTTACAGATGAAGGCGAAGCTCAAGGACTATGTGGCCTGCCACACACAGGGCCAGGCCCGCTCCCCGCCGGGGCCCTGCCAGACTACCTCCTCCTCCTCCTCCTCGCCCTCCCGGTCAATGATCTGGAGCAGCCTCTTCTTGTCGTCATCGGCTTCCTCCACCACAGCGGCTTCCTCCTCCCGGTGGCGGCCACGCTCCCGAGGACCAGCTTGTTTCCGACGGGTTTTCAGCTCCTCCTCATCATCATCCCGGGGGCGTTTTGTGCCCCTGTTGGGCTGAGAAGGAGAGAAAAGAAACAGGATGTTAGAGCGGAAGAGATGGAGACAGGCACCCAGGGCAAACATCCTAAGAACGTCTCAGGATCCTGATGGGAAGAGCCAGGAGCACACTCTCGGGAAGGGAGGGAAGCTCCAGGCGGTCATTTTTCAGGTCCTTTGTGATTCTACAAATACACCAGGAACAGTGGCTTTCTCTTTTTTCTTTTCAACAGAACTCTTTATATGGAGTTTTAGCACTTCACACGATCCTGTATATTCAGAAATCTCAAAGAAAAAAGCCACCTTGAGTCGGGGACACTGGGTTAGATTCACTTACCAAGAAACAACCCACCCCTTAGAACAGGGTTTTAAGTCATGTCTAAGGAAGATGATAAAGTCTTTCTAATAGTCACCCAGAAGTAGTTCAAACAAGATATTACATAGGTGACTTCCAAAGATCTATTATACTTCAAACTCTATTTTATACAAAGTAGAAGGCAGCCAGAGGCCAGGCAACCTAGGCGGACCCCCCCAAACCAAGACATACAAATGGGCAACAAAATACATGAAAAAATGCTGATAGGCACTGATCAAGGAGATGCAGATGAAAACCACAAAGAGCTATCACCTGAATTGCTGATGAGGGTATAGAGAATAGGGAACCCTTTTATGGAAATGTAAATTAATACAGCCACTATGGAGTTTCCTCGGAAAACTAAAAATAGAATTCCCATAAGAGCCAGTGACCCTCCAGTCTAGAGATATATCCAAAGGAAGTGAAATAATTATGCCAAAGAGATATCTGCCCTCCCAGGATCACTGCAGAATGACTCACAGTAGCTAATATACAGAAACAGCCCAGGTGTTCATCATCAAATGAAAGAAGAAACACACCACACACACACACACACACACACACACACACACACAAAATGGAATACTATTCAGCCCCAAAAAGAAGGGAATTCTGTTACTTGCAACAACACAGATAAACCTGAAGGACAACATGCTAAGTGAAATAAGCCAGGCACAGAAAGACAAACATCCCATGATCTCACTCATATGTACAATCATACATTGAATTCAGGAGTAGAGAGCACAAGGACAGTTACCAAAGGGAGAGGGTAGATGTTGGTCAAGGGTACAAAGCCTCAGCTAGGAGAAATTAGCTTTAGTAGTCCACTGCACAGAATGGTGACTACAATACAAAACAATGTACTGCCTAGTTCAAAACTGCAAGTAAATAAATAAATAAATCCAGGTGTTTTCTCCACCAAAAAAAGAAAAGGATGTAAGGTGATGGATTGTGTTAATCGGTCTGATTTAATCATTCCACATTCTAAACATATCAGATTAAGTCAAGTGCAGTAGTGCACGCCTCTTAATTCCCAGCTACTCAGGTGATTCAAGGGCTCAAAGGCAGCCTCAAAAAATTAACAAGACCTCATCTCAAAATAAAAAATTTAAAAAGCTGGGGATGTGGCTCAGTGCAAGGCAGTAAGGCTGAATCCCTAGTAACACACACACACACACACACACACACACACACACAGATCACATTCTACCCTGGAACGATCATGGTCAATTAAGTAATTTTTAAATTAAAAAATGTAAAGAATTTGTAAAAGTCCCGGAGGCCAGGTGACACTCAAGGTCACAAACCACTGGCATCCTGGAAGACAGAAGTGGTACTTCCTGACTCCTGCTCTGGGGCTCTTTCCAACGCTCTGATAGGACCTCATTTTACCTTTGCAACACAATCCATGATGGAGTACTTACTGCTGCTTTCCACTGAATTAGAATAAAGCAGGGCACTATTGAAAGAGCTTCGGACTGAGGGAAAACATCCTACAGCAGACATCAAAAGTGGTGAATGTCATCACTCAGCTCCACTGGCTACTGGTGCAACTGGAGCATGCTTCTACCCAAGCCTTAGTTTCCATAACTGCAAATGGAGGTAATAACCCTTTTCCTTAAGGACTCATGAAAGCTCCTTTTAAAGTAAAAAAAAAAAAAAAAAAAAAAAAAAAAAAAAAAATTCTAAATAATAACAGTACTAAACAAATATGTAAAAATCATCATTATGAGCCTCTCCAAAAGATTGTGTCTCCCCCAGCAAAACACTGTGTTAGGTTCCTCTCTGAGCTTCTTTCTCTCTACCTGATACAACTGCCCTCACCAACGGTGTGCTAGTGCAAGGTGGTATGTTACCACCAAACAGAAGAAAATGCCATGTCCACTGCCAGCCTGGGAAGGTGTTTGGTAATAACATAAATTTCTATCATGCACATCTCACATTTCGCCTTGTGACAACCATCCCTGAACTGCACTATGCCGAGGTGGAAAGTCATTCCCTCTAATATTCGTGTGTCCTGCTGGTTCTAGGGACCAGGTGCTTTAGCAAGTCTGAGCATATGACACTGCTTAGAGACAATTTCGTTTGTAGGGTACCACCTGCTATTTTTCATTTTCTTCCAGGTCTCCATGGGATAGATTATAATCTCATATGAACTCTATTTTCTTAAATCCAAAAATCTAATATCATCACTACTACTCTACCCTAAAAAAGAAAAAAAGAAACCAACATTTCAGAAACTACAGTCTACAAGAAAAAGGAGGTACCAGTTTCCACGTGAGGAGGGGAAGTAAAAGGTAGCTTCATCCAGAACGGGGGCAGGCTTCAAATAGAAAGCTGTAGCTCCCCAGCAGGTAAGAATTTCAGCCCCCTGGGAACACGAATTCTTTCAGGCTCATAAAACAAGCCCTGCTGTGATTCTGATTAGCAAGAGCCTGCTGCAGAGCCAAGGCAAGGCACGAGCTCCAGAGCTCTCCATGGAGAGGAGATTTCTGATGGTTCATCTCCAAGGGCAGGGAGAAAAGGCAGTGCCCACAATTAAGAGGAGAAAGCGAAATACTGCCACAGTCATGAAATGCAAAGCAGAAATAACGCTGGCGATGTCTCTTTGAACCTCTTCGGCTCCCCGTTAAAACAAACACTGCAGAGGTCAGGGGAGGGGTTTCATTTTCACATCTAACAATTTTCACTGAAATAGCACTTTCCTTCTGCAGAACTTCAATCTCCACCACATCTCTGGGGACCAGAAGTAGTTAACAGTTCTGCTTTATAAGCAAGGAGACAGGATGCCTAAGACCTTCTCATAAATTCCTGCAAAGACAACTGGGTTCCCTCTTAAAACTTGAACCTGACCTCTGGAACGTTTGCTCACCTCCCATGATTCTAGGACCCTGATGACAGAGATCTGAGGGACTTACGTATAACCATAAACATAAGTTGCACAAGACTGTGGTTAACTTAAAACAGTTATTTGTTAATTCATTAATTTCACAAATAAGTTATTAAAGAAGCATCATCAAGTCATCAGCTGGCCCAGGAGCAGTCCCAGGCTTCCAGCTGGGCCATGTCTAAATGGGGTCAAAGGTACAGAACAGGCGGGCTAGTGAAGATTCTTAAGAACAGACCTCAGAATATTTATGAATAGCCTATGTGCAACATCCCTAAGAAAGCCACCTTTAGGTCCAATGGTGTCCCCAGCCCCTCCCTCTCATGAGGCTAGGGCAGGGCAGGGCAGGGCAGGGCCTTCTAGGGCACTCTGATGTGGCTCCAGGGCCAGCTCCGCTGCTCCCGCCTCCATCTCCCAGGGTCTAGGAGCTGTGAAAGGTCCTGGCGTACCTTATTTCAACATTCTTCTCTCCCAGGGCAAAATTTAGAGAACTTTGCTCTGTATTCCTTCAACTGTCTCTAAAACTAACAATCCAAATAGAAAAGTTCATATTCATTCCTGAGATTTCACCACTCTGGGTAATAAAGGATTCATTTCTTCAACAAATATCAAGTGCCAACTACATCTAAGGCACTGCTCTGGGTACTGGGCAGAGTGTGAAGAAGACGAACACCACTTGCTATCAGAGTTCCTCAGTCTAAGACAGAGGGGTCAACTGAAATAAAATGCAAGCCCTAGATGTAATCTGAAATTTTTTGGTAGCCACATTTTAAAAATATAAAAAGAGGAAAATTAATTTTAATAATGTATTTTATTTACTCCAATATAGCCAAATATTATCACTTCACTATGCAGTCAATATTAAAAAAATTGCTAATTTGATAGTTTGCCCTTTTCACACTAGGTCTTTGGAAGCTGGTAGCATTTACAAGTAAGGACCAACTCAATGCAGACTAGAGCCATTCTGTGCGCTCAACAGCCATTAGGGACTAGTGGCTACAGTACTGAACAGCACAGGTCTGAAGAGTTTCCCGCTCCCTAATAAAACCAAACTATTATCATCCTTCCGGCATCAATGAGTGAAATAGGGATTCTTAGCACTATTTGAAGCTGACTCCACATCCTCTCCCAGAAAAACACTTCTTGATTATATTTACCCAACATTCACCGTGAGAACAACTGGTTGCACAAAACAAAACCAGAGCTGTGACAGCGGAAGCAGTATGGCGCTCCATGACTTCACTCCAGGGGAGCCAAGGAAAGGGCTGCTGACCAGACAAGACATCACACAGCCTCCAGAGTCAGCTGCTGAGGCCCAGCTCTTCCTGCCGCATACAACCAATCCCCAGAGGCTTAAGCCATTCTTACCAGTCACCTCTGGAGGTTAATTTGTTTGGGTTCTGAAAGGTATTTGGAATCCTTCAAGATGAAGGAATGACAAAAGCAACCGCTGTTAATAAAGTCATTCCTCTGCTACTAGTGCCCACAGGACTAGAGAAAAAAGTCTTAACTTCTGATATACCAGAACATCAGCCTTCAAGGGACTCAACCTTCCAGGCTCCCTGCCTCTCCCCAAACTGGCGAGTGGAATAAAAGCATTTGCCACCAGCCAACCACACAGCTGGTAGTCCTTCTAGGATGCCAACGGGCCCCTGCTTATTCAAAGCCCACAGTGGGTTTCGAGACAATGTACACGATGCCTTAGCTTTTGAATGACCTTGTTGCGTGTGTGCACCTCCATCCATTCCACTGGAAAGAGAAATCAAGACGTCTCCA